ATGAACTCAATTTGCAAGTTTAGTGTAAATATAGCAAATATTTTGGACTGTTTTTACAATTACCAATTTGATTCCTGCACTATTTACGACATTGTATATCATCGATGAAGTCTCTTATGAAGTGCCTGTGGTTTATTCTTTTTGTTGTTTATTGGACTGTATTGCAGCTTAGTCATTTGTGTTGGTGTCTCATTCGTGTATTCCTTCTCTTCATGTATGAAAATTGATTTCAGAGAGATTATAGACTTCACGATTCGTACTAGTTTTTGTTTTTGTTTTTTTTTGGGGGGGGTGGGGGGTCATCTTTGCCTAAAAATAAATATCTAAGTTACCGGTATGTTCTCTTAAAAAAGTGCTTAAGAGATGAAATATAACAAGAATTCTGTGAGTATTGCAGGGCAATACATAATCCCCTATTGGTTAAAAATCATTGTATTGGAACAAAATTCTAAGTTGATCTATTATCTATAAGTAAACCTGGTGAAAAGGAGTTGAATTAAGTCTTGTAGTTTCAGAGAAAAAGTAATGATTCAAGAAGAAAATTGTGAAAAATAAATCTTTCAAGGGAAATAACCAAAACTATAATTTCTCCCAAAAAAAAATATCCTACAGTAACCAAACAACAGATTGGCAATTTGTTCTGAACATGTTCATGCAGATAGATCAATACTATTTTTCTCATTTACACTTTCTTTTTATCTACAACATTGTATAATTTTCAAGAAAATAATCAAAATCTAAAATTTCCTAATAAATAACTACTTCTAACAGTAACCCACCAATAAATTCTCCAAATTCTCCAATTGGCATGAAAATTTCATAATAGTTAAATATTTACCTAATCATCACTCTAACTCTCTTTCACGTTTGCTCTAACTGCTTTAGTTTTTGTGAGATGTAAGCCAAAAACTGCATTTGACCCCTATGTTTTATTTTTACCCATGGCGGCCATGTTTGTTGATGGATCAAAACTTCGGATACAATTTTAACCTAGATACCCTAAGGAACATTTATTTAAAGTTTGAATGTATTTGGCCCAGTAGTTTCAGAAAAGATTTTTTAAATAGTTTACGACGAGAGACGACGAAAATTACCAAATTAGTGGCAGCAACCCAACAATGGTTTGTTTGATTTGTTTGAAAATTTCAGGGCTGGTAGATCTTGACCTGTTTAACATTTTTACCCCATGTCAGATTGCTCTAAATGCTTTACTTTTTGAGATATAAGCCAAAAACTGCATTTGACCCCTATGTTCTATTTTTAATCATGGCAGCCATGTTTGTTGATGGATCAAAATTTCGAATACAATTTATAAACTAGATACCCTAAGGAACATTCATTTAAAGTTTGAAGGTATTTGGCCCAGTAGTTTCAGAGGAGAAGATTTTTGAAATAGTAAGACAGAAAATTACCAATTTAGTGGCAGCAACCCAACAATGGTTTGTTTGATTTGTTTGAAAATTTCAGGGCTGGTAGATCTTGACCTGTTTAACATTTTTATCCCATGTCAGATTGCTCTAAATGCTTTACTTTTTGAGATATAAGCCAAAAACTGCATTTGACCCCTATGTTCTACTTTTAGTCATGGCAGCCATGTTTGTCGATGGATCAAAATTTCGAATACAATTTATAAACTAGATACCCTAAGGAACATTCATTTAAAGTTTGAAGGTATTTGGCCCCGTAGTTTCAGAGGAGAAGATTTTTGAAATAGTATTACAGAAAATTACCAATTTAGTGGCAGCAACCCAACAATGGTTTGTTTGATTTGTTTGAAAATTTCAGGGCTGGTAGATCTTGACCTGTTTAACATTTTTACCCAACATCAGATTTGCTCTAAATGCTTTACTTTTTGAGATATATAAGCCAAAAACTGCATTTGACCCCTATGTTCTATTTTTAATCATGGCAGCCATGTTTGTTGATGGATCAAAATTTCGAATACAATTTATAAACTAGATACCCTAAGGAACATTCATTTAAAGTTTGAAGGTATTTGGCCCAGTAGTTTCAGGAGAAGATTTTTGAAATAGTAAGACAGAAAATTACCAATTTAGTGGCAGCAACCCAACAATGGTTTGTTTGATTTGTTTGAAAATTTCAGGGCTGGTAGATCTTGACCTGTTAAACATTTTTATCCCATGTCAGATTTGCTCTAAATGCTTTACTTTTGAGATATAAGCCAAAAACTGCATTTGACCCCTGTGTTCTATTTTTAGTCACGGTGGCCATGTTTGTTGATGGATCAAAATTTCGAATACAATTTATAAACTAGATACCCTAAGGAACATTCATTTAAAGTTTGAAGGTATTTGGCCCCGTAGTTTCAGAGGAGAAGATTTTTGAAATAGTAAGACAGAAAATTACCAATTTAGTGGCAGCAACCCAACAATGGTTTGTTTGATTTGTTTGAAAATTTCAGGGCTGGTAGATCTTGACCTGTTTAACATTTTTATCCCATGTCAGATTTGCTCTAAATGCTTTACTTTTGAGATATAAGCCAAAAACTGCATTTGACCCCTGTGTTCTATTTTTAGTCACGGTGGCCATGTTTGTTGATGGATCAAAATTTCTGATACACTTTATGAACTAGATACCCTAAGGAACATTCATTTAAAGTTTGAAGGTATTTGGCCCAGTAGTTTCAGAGGAGAAGATTTTTGAAATAGTTTACGACGACAGACGATGGACGACGACGGAAGCAAAGTGATGGCATAAGCTGACATGGGGCCCTTTGAGCTAAAAAGGGGATCATAAATAAGACAACAACAAAATTAAAGCCAAACTAAACAAGGTCAACACTCTGGTTTCTCCAATGGTAATATTCCGGACCATATGTGTATAACAATAAGCTAAAAAAAACGATTTTTAAGAAAAGCTATTACTTGTTTTTCTTAACCTTTAATGATAACAGGAAATTCAATAAAGAGAAAAAATGAGGTGCCTAATTATCTTGGTCCAGAAATGTCCAAGACATTGCCGAAATGTCTTCGGACCTGGGTGCCGATTTGTCTTGGTGTCGAAGTGTCTTGTTACCAAAGTTGACACACCAGACTACTCTGTATATATGTTGTCAACTGGGAAGAAACAACTCACTTTACAGGACCAATAGACATGATAGACCAATCTCAAGAAAAATCTTGATTTTTATGAATGAGTTACACCAGTTGACTCAAGGTCAATCGGCATACATGTAAACAACATCATTGAACAAATGCTGAAATGGTTCTTACTGTGAAATTGAATGTGAATTTATAGCATATCTAAAGCATTGTGACATATAAAATGTACAAAAGAGCACGAATTTGAAAGTCATCTATTGACATAGTCCAAATAATTATCAGGTCTTAGCAAAAAAAAAAGAAAGCCTTTCAAGACGTCATAATTATTTTGACTTCTATTACTATTAGCATAGATATAATAGCCATAGATAAAGTACTGGACCCACATCAAAAGCAGATGATATTTGCCGAAATTTTATCACCCTCTTATTATATACATGTTACACTTGGTGTTAATTAGCCTTCATTGGCAATTGCCGTCGATGGATATCTAATAAATTGTGAATCAGGAGACTTTTAAACACAGGAATGTGCTACATAATGACTTTTAACCATATTAAAAAAACGACTTTTTTTTTAACTCTGCCAAGTCCAAAGCTCGGATAAAATAGGAAAGAAGTCACGAGAAGTAAATATTGTAAAAGCGCAAATGTCCTATATAAAAAGCGCAAATGTCCTTTTATCAAAAGCGCAAATGTCCTATGAATTGAAGCGCAAATGTCCATTTAAAAAAGCACAAACGTCCTATGTAAAAGCGCAAACGCCCCGCGCCGGAAGGAATATATAGCTGTATTTATAGTACAAATCACACCTCCTCTAACACAATTGTAAGAAGGAAGGTGAAAAAACCATGAATGACACAGGACAAAACTCCTATATTTTCATTTTATCATAGCCATTATAACGCTTAATCTATATATTGTTTACTTCAAATATGAAATCGACAATCAGATTATACCACCATCTATTTAATAGCAAAACAAGCACAAAAATGGTAAGCGGAAAGGTATATAAAAGAAACAAATTCAGAGACATGATTTTGCTATTTCCCAATTATTTAATGTATTCAGTGTGTCCACTACATACGTTTTCTTCACCAAACGGCGTTTAATAAGTCCGTTTTTTCTCTTTATTTTCTAAAACTTCGTGTAACGACAGAAAGTTTCAACACTTGTAAAAATCTTTTTTCTTTTCTAAAAAAATAATAATTTCTTCTTTCTGGCATAAAATATGATTACACTATTTTGAATCTTGATAAAAAAGAAATTTCTTTAACTCGCCATAGAAAAATTCGACCAGGTTCCACCTCTTAATCATGTATACCATCAGTAAACGATTTGTCTCTTCTTGTCAATCATACAGGTCTTATTTCCCAAGTGCAACCGATGCAAGTGCTATGACAATTTAATTTTAAGTCCATTTTCCATGATTTCTCTATTTTATTTTTTCAACAACAGCATAACCTTTTCATTTGTTGACCGATTTTCTCCAAATAAATCACAATCCGAACAACTTTTACAACCAGACGCTTTTTATTGCTTCCGCGTCACGGCATATTATTACTTGAGACAGGTAACGCATATTAATTATCGGTTGATAAGATGAGTGCCCGATAATTTAAATATAATTATGATAAGTAATTAGTCTATTGGGAGGATGTCGGCAAATATCATCTACATCATAGGCCACTATGTGCAGTGCCGTGCTTTTGATATTTCAAAGGAAACTACATGGGGCTCAGTGTGACAAATTCTGAGTACTTTATCTATGGCTATTATATCTTTGCTATTAGTATTGACACACTGACAGAGCAAAAAAATCTTTCTCTTGAGGAAACTCATATTCACTTATTGAGTTTAATATCTCAGACTTTACCGAAGATGGTTGGAATTTTTTTGTTTGCTGTGATATTTTGCATGGGAGCTTTTATGTTTTTACCTCAAAATAAATTCTTAAAGGCACTAACGTGTTAAGAAGTGTTTTCCAGCAAGTTCCAAGCTGCTAAGGAAGCCTTTCAATATATCTTTCGGAATCAGTTCAGTCATAACAAAACGAATCTATAAAACATTTACGATTTCATTTAAATTGATATTTGTACAAAAATAGTTTTATTTTGTATAAAGCAATAAATTTCAATATTTCAAGGGTTCAAATATTTTCCAGGACTATATAATATTCTTTGATATGAATGTTTACGCTAAATTTAAAAAATTCTTTTCTTTATTTTTTTAACAAATATATGCAAATATTTTCCCCACGTGACAGAAAATGGCGACCTCCTGTTCATCGGAATCGGAGAAATAAAAAGTTGACAAAACTTCACCCATAACTGTTATCCGACTCATAAAACAATTCACAGGTTGAGCAATGTGTTATATAGTTACCTTAAACCCGATTTTAAATTTTTATCGTCCAACATTATTCGTAAATATTGTTTATATATTTTCATAGTATCCTGCTTATAGCGGAATAATATTTTATTCTGCCAGCTAAATTATCACTGGTGTCAACGTGATGATCGTAACTGCAATTACGATCATCCCAATATGGCGGTCACAAATTTAGGGAAATTCTATATGGCCGATTTCTCCACTTTAACAGCTTGTATTTAGATATGTTTTATGTTAAAAATCTTTATAAGCATTGCCATAATTTGAATGTATTTTTCTAAAATGATGGAAAAACAACCAGAAGAAGGAAAATCGCTATACAAAAAACACGATGATGATCTTAACTTCGGCTATGGATGATTGTAACTCAGCCTTGTTATTATATAAAGATGATCGTAACTCACAATTTACGATGTGTTTCTTCTTTAAATGAGCATTCTATTTAGAAGTCACGATATATTGGTATAACATTATTATCACAATATAAGCTGATTATGTACACTTTTTCGCATACCATACAGCTCTATTTATTAGAAAATGCTTCGTTGGAACAGACAGTTACGATCATCTTAAGTAAAAATTACGATCATTGTTGATAAAAATAAATAAAAGTTACGATCATCATCGTATTTTTTTGTATCTCGATTTTTGTTCTTGTTGCTTTTCCATCATGAAGGAAAAAACCTTTGATGGCAATACTTATAAATTTGTTTCTTGACATAATGCGAATATGAAAATAAGCTGTTAAATAGAGAAATCGGCCTTATAAAATTTCCCTAAATTTGTGTCCGCCATATTGGGATGATTGTAATTGCAGTTACGATCATCACGTTGACACCAGTGAATTATGACCACAATCAATGAACTGATATAGTTACTGATTTTGGTGCGCATACGATCCCCGTCCCACCACCAAAATGTTTGAATTTTATTTAGGTTATCATAGAGTATTTTTGTGCTTCAGCTTGTACAACCTAAATAGGAAGATGGGTCCAATAATGCAATAATAGCAATATGTATACATGTATCCATGATCTTCCAAATTTATTATCAGTGCTTTTTCCTGGGAAAATTGAGATAACAAAGCAAATACAAATGTATCATTACCTCACTTACTCCCAAATGACTTCAGGTTAACTAGGGCAGTGCATTCATTAAATTGAAATTGGAATCTTGTGTATTGTATATGCAATTTTTTGGTGTAATAGGATATACTGTTATTATACATTTCATCTAGAGACCAAATCCCTTTAAAGATTCTGAGTCTGGAGCAATTTTCTGATTTGGCTATCCTCCAAATCTGTGTGTGGACAGAATCCTCTAAAGGGATTACTTGAAATCGTATGCTCCTTTATGATGTTTAAAGGAAAAACAGGAACTGGAATTTTATCGCTCCCATGTTGAACGTTTTTTTGGGGCATAGCATCTAGAGACAAATCCCTTTTAAGATTCTGAGTTTGGAGCAATTTTCTGATTTGGCCATCCTACAAATCTCTGTGTGGACAGAATACTCAAAAGGGATTACTTGAAATCGTATGCTCCTTTATCATGTTTATATATATATATATATATGATGTGTAAAGGAAAAACAGGAACTGGAATTTTATTGCCCCCATGTTGAACGTATTTTGGGGCATAGCATATAAACCAAAGTGAACCCTCCTACCATTTATGCTCCTATTGGGGAATATATTAAAGAATATTGAATCCAGGTCCCTGCACCCTGTTTCATACTGGCCCTTGTTTCTATTTGCCTTAATATCTGTTCACCCTGGACTGGTTTACCTAAACACGGGTTCGCCCTTGGTCATATTTTATTTTGTTGTCTTGTTGTATAATGGTATTATATATTATTTGAATTGAGTATCCATTACCTAAAGTAATAGTGTGTTGAAAATTACAATAAAAAGTACATAGATACATTATATAATTTCTATTGAACATTGTTGATGTAATCTGTTACATACATTAGCATTGAACATTCTTCTGCTCATTGGTCAGGTTGGTGACTGTTTGAAAATTTCAGGTTTCCATTCTCAATTCTATTGATGTAATCTGTTATGTACATACTAGGTACATTTGTTATTATCATGATTATTTTCTTTGACAGTATACATGGTATAATATAACAAATTTGTCAAAACACACGAGATCAAATGAGCCTTGCTGTAAGTAAATACATTCCCTTTCATTTCTTACAATTAGTACATAAAAAATACAAATAAGAAGATGTGGTATGATTGCCAATGACACAACTCTTACCGGAGACCAAATGATGTAGAAGGTTAGCAACAAAATATAATGGCCTTGCATTGTTCGACTCATTTCAAGCTGACTAGTTTACTTTATAAAATTGTTATTTTCATAATTTAACCACCAAAGACAATTGATACAATATTGAACAATAAGTGAGATCAAAGACAATAGTTAATCCTAACTCATGTTTAGTATTTTGTTTTGATGTAGTTGCATAATAAATATGATACATTTTTGTACACAATTTGCATGGAATTGTATTATTTTAGTTTACATGTAATGTCTAGGGGGAGACATAGAGAGAGCTAATAACCACTCATTGCCAGAGTTTATTGATAGTTCAAAAATTTTTGTTTACCTACATGTACAACTGAAATTAATGTTTACTTGATGTCACTTAGTATGATACATATGTAACTTAACCAGATCTATGTTCTCTTTTTTCCAGGGAGATGTCGTTAAAACCAAGAAAAGTAGACTTTGATACAACTTGGTGTGTACTACTGGAGACAGTCAAAAGTGTTATTACCTGTGCCAAAGTTAACAGAACCACCTGGAATGACAGATTTTCATATCCTTTAGTCTTATTTGATCAATTTGAAATATTGAAAAGGTCATGACCCCAAAAAAAGGTGAGTGTCCATGATTTCCTGGTTGACCTTAAATTTTATGTCTGACTTATATAACTTTTTATGCCTCGCTGTAGCGGAGGGGGCATTAAGTTTTACCCATGTCCGTCCGTACGTCTGTCCGTATGTCCGTATGTCCTGAAATTGGTTTCCGTTCTCTAACTTTAGTTTGCCTCAATCAAATGATATGAAACTTATACACAATGCTTGTTACCACAAAACACAGATCAAGTTTGAATTTTGGTGGCGTCACTTTCACCATTCTAGTGTTATGCCCCTTTACAAATGGAAAAATTGCTGAATTTTTCGTTTCCGTTCTCTAACTTAAGTTTGCCTCAACCAAATGTTATGACACTTCTACACAATGTTTTAGTTTAAACATATTTTATTGTACAAAACAAATGGATTAGACAGAAGTTTTTCAACTTAGTTCCGTCTTCTCCATAATATACATGAATATACATTATATTTATATTGCACATTACATAAATTTGTAATTTTCTAATAAGCATGAAGTCATGAAAAATAATTAAATAAATAACATTAATTGTTATTACAATATAAACAAGAAAATAATAGAAACGGCTCAATGGATATCAAACGTTTTAATTTTGAATAATCAAACACACCCAAGGTGTATACCAAACGATCGGTCCAAAGGGAAAACACCTACTGATATGCGTGTGTTTTCAATGACATTCTATTTGCATGTATAATTTGTAAATATTAACGTGCAATATATATTATTGTGATACGGATATTAAATTCTGACGTTAAAAATACAGATAAAGAGTTGACAAGAACATAGATTTAATGTAAGTATCCTTTTTGTATTAACTTAATAATTGAAATCCATTGAGACGTAACACTATGTTAACCATTATGAACAGCAAATCGATCATTCGAACAAGGCAACGTCTGTACTGTAGTAAATAAAACAATAACCAGCAAGGTTGTTATCAAAGTGAGAAACGTTGTGTTTCTTTTATATATTTATGTACTGAAGAAAATATTACAGAATTGTCATTTGTATCTAAGTTATCATTACCAAACAATAACAAATCAATTGTAACAGGAATGTCTAAGTGGGTCAGTTCAGTAAGCATAACATTCCTTTGCGGTGCAAAGTTATTACAATATAATAAATAGTGTTCAACACTTCCACTAATGTAACCACAATACACAGATCAAGTTTGAATTTGGTAGCGTCACTTTTACCGTTCTTGAGTTATGTCTCTTTATAATGTTGTATGCAAGCGGGGGCATCATCTGTGTCCCATGGACACATTCCCCATTTATTTGAAGATGTCTTCAAAAAAGGTTTCATCAACATATATATCAGTTGTTATCTGATTTAAAAAGAAGTGACAAAAATGATCAAAATGTTGTTAAACATGATCAATTTGTTCATTGATAAATGGTATCTAGTTGCAAAAAATAAGCTCCAGTGCAAACACAGACTCGTCAATATTTTGCATTTTCTCCATGAGGACGCTTCTTGTAATATATTCACAAGTTAGCTTTATAGGAAAAATGAATAATGAAAAAAATAGAATAAAACAAAAATTACCATATAATGTTATTTCCATTTTAATGTAGCAATCAATGTAATAAGTTTGGCAGCTGACATCTTTGCTGCCAAGGATTACAATCCGATCATCTTCTCTTTACCTTTGGCAGATGAAGTCTGAATTTGTGATTCATGAGGTAAGGATTTTCATTGGTTGCAGGTGTTACTAGCTGCATCCAATCAAAAACGCCTTTAAAATGATCACCTGTGAAAATAGAAAATGTAAATAAACAATTGCCAGGTGCTAATTGTGCAAGCATCTTTACCCTAAAAACATAGAATGATATTTAGTGGCACTTTTAAAGTTCTTAATCAACTAATTGAAGTTCTGGTGTATACATGTATGTTCAACGTGCAAATGTTGGAATGTCAACGTACAATGTAAACAGGGAGTTTCAGCTATTCAAAATTCACTTGATATTCAACTGAGGTTTAGACAGTCTTTTTGACTAAGACTTTTTTCTGTAGCACAGTCACCCTTTTCCAGTCATTTCAGTGACATCAGGAGTAATCACTTTAAAAGCAACCTCTAATTAAATACCCCTCACCATATAGTTATTTCTTTTAAGGTTGATGATTGTTAGTCGACTGAGTTTACCTGTTAACCTGACCATTAAACTAGAACAAGACATTGTTGGATCTTTTTGAAGATGTTTCTAATGTTTGAATTAGTTTTAGCAATACATGATTGAGTTTGTTAAAACCATTATTAAAGTTATTAAATTAAAAATGCTTTTTAGAGAAAAATCAACAGAACCATGTTATTTATACAAGTTCAAGTGTTTGCTTGCACAAAGGTGTGAAACTTAAATAAAGTTTTCAAAAGCTTTCAAAATGAAAAAAAATGAGTTATTTCAGTTATCTCATGTTCTTCTTAAGCATTTAAGTGAAGAATTAACATGGAAAGAACTACTTAAACACTAGGAGGCTTGACTATAATGTAAACAGATTCTGTCTCTTTTATACAACCACAAAATTTTTGTGGCCATATAATGGAATGGTGATGTCGTTTTCAGTGTCGTCATCGTCGTCCGAAGACATTTGGTTTCCAGACAATAACTTCAGTATAAGTGTATGGATTTCTATGAAACTAACACAAGGTTCCATACCACAAAAGGAAGGTTGGGATTGATTTTGGGGGTTATTGTCCTAGCTGTTTAGGAATAAGGGGCCAAAAACAAGCAATTTTCTTGTTTCAGAACAATAACTTGTGGATCTCTATGAAACTGTACTATAAGGTTCCATACCTCAAAAGGAAGGTTGGGATAGATTTTGGGGGTAATGGCCAAAACCATTGAGGAATTAGGGGCAGAAAAACAAAGATTTTCTGGTTTCCGGACAATCATTTGATTATAACTCTATGGATCTCTATGAAATTGTACCACAAGGTTCCATACCAAAAAAGGAAGGTTGGGATTGATTTTGGGGGTTATGGACCTAACCGTTATTGAATTAGGGGCTAAAACAAATCCTTTTCTTGACCTATTTCAATGGGGTTTAATTCAATGTCTTGAATTCTTAGAGTTCTTTAATATGCTGAATCTGACTGTGTATTTGGATTTTTTAGGCCCCGTTTTTAAATTGGTCCACATTAAGGTACAAAGGGTCCAAAATTAAATTTTTGATTGATTTTATCAGAAATTGAATTATTGGGGTTCTTTTATTTGCCAAATCTAACGGTATAATTAGATTTTTAATTTTGGGCCTCGTTTTCAAATTGGTCCACATTAAGGTCCAAAGGGTACAAAATAAAACTTAGTTTAATTTTAACAAAAAATTGAATTGTTGGGGTTCTTTGATATGCTGAATCTAAACATGTATTTAGATTTTTATATGACCGCAAAAAATTTTGCAGTCGCATATTGGTATCATGTTGTCGTTGTCAGCGTCGTCCGAAGACATTTGGTTTCCGGACAATAACTTTAGTAAATGTAAATAGAAATCTATGAAATTTAAACACAAGGTTTATAACCACAAAAGGAAGGTTGGGAATGATTTTGGGGGTTATAGTCTTAACAGTTTAGGAATAAGGGGCCAAAAAGGGGCCAAAATAAGCATTTTTCTAGTTTCCAGACAATAACTTGTGAAACGGTGTATGGATCTCTTTGAAATTATACCACAAGTTTCCATACCACAAAGGGATGGTGAGGATTGGCTTTGGGGGGTTATGGCTCAAACCATTTATGAATTAGGGCCAAAAAAGGGGGAAAACAAGGGTTTCCTGGTAAATGGACAATTAAAAAAAAAGTACAATGTTATGTTTGGATTACCTCCCTTACACTGCTTGTAAATTATGTATAAAGAAATGTTGTATTGTCTTGAGGTGATAAGCTGTCAATTTATTTTTAGAAGTTACTATTTAAAAATGCTGATTAAGGAATATTAATTTTATCCATGATTATGTATATCATTTTCTATTTAAAGACTTTTATGATGTATTTAATTGGGTAATTATGGTTGAAAACTCCATTGGAAATTTGAATTGAGATTATGACCATATCTTGAGGGAAAGAATTTTTTTTTGAAAAAAAGGGGGTGGGGGGGTGAAAAAGAAATTGTGACAGGGGGACAATTTTATCTCATTTCAGATTTCAGAAATTAAAAAAAATTTCTTCAAAATTTTTTTTTTGCCAACAAAAAAAGGGGGGGAGGGGGTAATTTTTTTTTTTTTTTTTTGGGGGGGGGGGGGTCAAATCGCAACAGCATAGTGTATTGCACAAAAGCAAAAAAATTGAATATAAATTCAAATCATATAACCAATTCTAAGTTCTGTGTCAGAAACGTTAACCTATTATGTGTCAAATATTTAATTACAATCCAAATTCAGACCTGTATCAAGCGCGAATATTGTGTCCATTTTTGCCCCAACTGTTCAGTGTTTGACCTCTGCGGTCGTATCCAGCTGCGCTCGGCAAAGCAATTTATTGATTTTGGGCCCAGTTTTCAAGTTGGTCCAAATTTAACTTTGTTTGACATCAACAAAATGTGAATGTTGAATCTAATTAAACCGTGTATTCAGATTTTAGATTATTGGTCCACATTGAGGTCCAAAGGGTCCAAAATAAAACTTTGTTTGATTTCATCATAAATTGAATTATTGGGGTTCTTTGATATGCTGATTCTAACCATGTATTTAGATTTTGGATATTGGACCTTAAAAGGTAAATGTGCAATTTCAAATTTTCAAGCTCTTAGACCACTTTCATTCTGTGTCAAAAACCTATGCTGTGTCAAATATTTAATCATAATCCTAATTCAGAGCTGTATCAAGCTTAAATGTTGTGTCAGTACTTGCCCCAACTATTCAGGGTTAGACCTCTGGGGTCATATCAAGCTGTGTCCTGCGGAGCATTTTATTCAGGTTTAAAGCTATTTAATAAATCTTGTATTAAGGATGTACACCTCTGAGGAGCCAACAATTTCTAGAATTAAACTTTTTTTCTTAACCTTACTTTTGGGATTATACGACTAAAAAAATAATTGGTGAAGAAAAAAATCACATGGTGGTGCACTTCTTTTTTTGCCAAGGCCATTTGAAAGTACCTAATTTTGATGATTTTTCCATTTTTCATCAATTTTTGTCCAGCCTGCAACTTTTGTCGCAAAAGCAAGACATAGCAATCCTACATTCCGTCGGCATCGTTGTCGGCGGCATCCACAAATATTCACTCTGTGGTTAAAGTTTTTCAAATTTTAATAACTTTCTTAAACTATCCTGGATTTCTACCATACTTGGACAGAAGCTTGTTTATGATCAAAAGATAGTATCCAGAAGTAAATTAAAAAAAAAAAAGAAAATCCTGTTTATCCGTATTTTACTCATAAATGGACTTAGTTTTTCTGCCAGTTAACATTACATTCACTCTGTGGTTAAAGTTTTTCAAATTTTAATAACTTTCTTAAACTATCCTGGATTTGTACCATACTTGGACAGAAGCTTGTTTATGATCATAAGATAGTATTCAAAAGTAAATTTTGCAAAAGAAAAAATCCTGTTTATCCATATTTTACTTATAAATGGACTTAGTTTTTCTGCCAGTTAACATTACATTCACTCTGTGGTTAAAGTTTTCAAAATTTTAATAACTTTCTTAAACTATCCTAGATTTGTACCAAACTTGGACAGAAGCTTGTTTATGATCAAAAGCTAGTATGTAGAAGGAAATTTTGTATAAAAAAATTTCCTGTTTTTCCGTATATTACTTATAAATGGACTTAGTTTTTCTTCCAGTTAACATTACATACAGTCTGCAGTTAAAGTTTTTAAAACATTTATTAGATTCATAAACCATCCTGGATTCTTACCAAACTTGAACAGAAGCTTCTTACATTCAAAAGATAGTATCTAGAGGAAAATTTTTAATAATTATTTCCCCATTTTTGTTGAGCCTGCGACTAATAGCAAAAGTAGGCGAGACACTGGGTATCGCGGAACCCTTATAAATTTTTACCCATTTTTAGGCTATTATCATGAAAGAAATCACAGTTTCACAATTAAACTTTTTTTCATACTTTCACTTAAGATGAAGAAGAAGACCAATCTGAATAAATTTAGCTAAAAAAAAAATATAGGTAGGTGTTAATATAAGAAAGTTACATAAAATTTTGTTGCTTTTTGGAGTCAAATTTACCATGCTGTCAGTTTTGTAAATTTGGGATTTTTCCCTTTTTTTGGAACAAAAAGCATATTATTTCAACTTCTTTGTTATAAATGATTGAAAAAATACATATCTAAGAAATTTGAAAAGAAAAAAATTGATATGGGTCACCCATTTTCTCAACTTTTTGGCAAATGAGACTGACTTGATTGGTTATAAAATTTGAAATTTTTATTACTCAAAAACTACTTATTGTAAATACACAATTTTTTCAGAGTTAAGTTTGATTATAATAATTTTTAAATTCATTGATATTTTCCACTTGTATCACATGTTTTGGAAATAATTCCAGAACGAGATTTCAACGAGACTGAAACGTCAGAGGAATACATCCCTAAAAAACGTGTGCTTTTAAAACAAAATTTTCCTTTTAGAGTGTAATTGCATAAATAAAGAGTATAGTGCACTGTTGGTTAAGGGTACTTTGAATTTAGGAGTAACAGGTGTATGAAATCATTGCAAAGTACATATTATGTATATATGTTCGTCAGACAGGGTTCATCTGACCATGTTTTCATTTCATGGATCAATGTTTTTTTTTGTGATTAGGTTTCTTTCTCCAATACTTTAAGCAATAGGTCAACTAAATTTGTTAAATAACATGATTTTAAGGACAAAGGTGAACATGTCTGTCTGGCTGTTTTTTTTTACCTTGACCTCATTTTCATGGTTCATTAGTCAAAGTTAAGTTTTCTAAATAAGGTCTGTTTCTCAGATACATAAGTAATAGGTCTGTTATAATTGGTTTATAGGATGATTGTAAGGTGTATATGTCTGTCTGACCTTGATCTCCTCTATGGTTTTTTCATAATATTTAGTTTATGTGATACCTGTAGTGAGACCTTGATCTTAAAGACTCAACATAAAATTCAATTATGAAAAGCATGGCAAGACATTTCAACTTGTTCCTTCATTTATGTCTTTCCTGAGCAGTAAAGTATTTTTGTACAAAAATAAAATGAAAGTGAAAGTAACAATGTAACATATGACACAATTATTTGTTTGTTGAATTATGTTTTACCAGTTAAAGATTTTATTTTCATTTGAAGGTCAGAAATAAGATTAAGTCTTGACCAGTCATATTAATTGACCTTTTATGTTGTATGGTTTTTCATAATGAGGGATAGTAGAAATTATGCTTTAAACTCTTTTTGTTGTTCTTTTTTAGATGACTGGGTTTAATGAACTTAGTCATCTGTGTGAGAGTTGAGGCATTAATGACCTGTAGTTACTCTTCAATCATGGAGACGATAAGGTAGAATATAATCATAGAGTGTTTTTGATCCTGATATAATCCATATATTCTGAGAAGTCTGCTTGCTTCTTATTTTGCAAGAATAAATCTCCCTATATACTTTTTTAAGTGACTTGAAAATTGTTATATTATTACTGTTTTAAGTTCTTTATGACTCCTTAACGATTTGTACAGATGTCTATGCATTGTGTGTAGCTTGTCCAGAACCACTTAGTGACAGACTTTATGTAGAAACAAAACAATTCTTAGAAAACCACGTACAAGAACTTTACCAGGTATGTAGTAAAAAGATAGTGTTGAAGATGTTGCTTTGCCAATCAATCCCACTTAGTTAGGCATTAGATGAAAACCTTAATTACTTGAAAATACCGGTAAGTGAAAATACATATGAAAATAATGACCAGAGTGACCCACCTCAAATCTGGCTCAGAGTCCCTCAGACCAAAATTTTGGGAAGCCAAATACATGACTTAAACTATCAGAACCTAAGAGATCCTAAGCAGAACAGAATTTATAGTTTCATCTCTCTTACAACCAAAAAAAAAAAAAATGGGAAATTTTAGCTGAAATAATATTATCTTGAAAATAAAAAAAAAAACAATATGGAGAAAATACTGATTCCTAGAACGGTACCTATTCTGATGTCATGAACCATAACATCATATATACATTCTTACTACAGTCTATGCATAACCTTCAAAGAAAATCGCCGAAAGCGAGACATAAGGATTGCTTTTCCAGTGACGGCGTCAACAATTGTTAAAGTGTTCTTCTTAAGTTAGTTTGATAGGAACTACTTGTGATAGATCATTGATATTTAATATAAAGTTGTATTAATATCAGTACATATCAGTTTGACAACTATTTTTAGGCCCTGCCCCCTAGGTCATGGTCCAGTGACTGAATTAATTAGCAATTTTCAATGTTAAGTTTTCTGCTTAAGTCAGGTTGATAAGAACTACTTGTGATAGATCAATGACATTTTGTATCAAGTTGCATTACTATCAGTACATATCAGTTTGACGACCATTTTCAGGCCCTGCCTACTAGGTCATGGTCCAGCGACTTTGAATTAATAAGCAATGTTGCTGTCCATCAGATTGTCTTTTTCTGAATTTTATGCAGAAAGGCGAGACATATCTCTGTCAACAGTTTATTGTATTATACTATCTAAGAATTGTAATGTACAAATATTTACCTTTCAGAATGTGATTAAACATGGTGACGAGAGTTATTTAAGCCAATACCATAAATACTGGGAGGAGTATAGTAGAGGATCAAGTTTCCTAAATCTTTTGTATGGGTAGGTAGATCAAATATTGAAGGATCCTCTAACCTCCACAATCTTTGTATTGGTCGGTAGATCAAATATTGAATGATCCTGTAACCTTCACAATCTTTGTATGGGTAGAAAGATTAAATATAGAATGACCCTCTAACCTCTACAATCTTTGTATTGGTAGGTAGATCAAATATTGAATAATCCTCTAACCTTCACAATCTTTGTATGGGTAGGTAGATCAAATATTGAATAATCCTCTAACCTCCACAATCTTTGTATTGGTAGGTAGATCAAATATTGAAGGATCCTCTAGCCTTCACAATCTTTGTATGGGTAGGTAGATCAAATATTGAATGATTCTCTAACCTCCACAGTCTTTTTCATTGGTAGTTAGATCAAATATTGAATGATAATTCTAGCCTCCACAATCTTTTGTATCTGTAGGTAGATAAAATATTTAAGGTGTTGTTTCAAATAATGGTGGATAAAAAAGATAAAAAACAAAATAGGAAAAGTTCAGTACTGTTTGTAATTGGAACCATGAAAATATTTTTTTTTTTATATTTATGGAAATGTGCATTTGCTGCTGATTTTTGTGTGGAGGTGGGAATCAATATTCAACATAGTAATAGTTGTTATAAAATTTTTAATTTTCTTTTATCTCATTTTAGAAATTATACTTTAGCGCCAAATAATCACATTGAAGTTTTAACACTATCAGTAACTAAAAATTTGCCTTATCTTAGTGGTATGGCAGCATTGCATTTCAAGTACAGTTTCGTATATACTATAATATCATTGACATTTACATGTCATTTATTTTCTATTAATTACATTGTAGATATTTGAATACTACGTTTATAAAGAAACAGAAATATAGTGAAGCAGATCTCAGTTATGGTGGATTCTCTGTGGAGTCAGCTGATCAGAAGTTAGAAATAGGAGAGGTAGGTTCTGATGAGTGGATTCTCTGTGGAGTCAGCTGATCAGAAGGTAGAAACAGGAGAGGTAGATTCTGATCAGTGGATTCTCTGTGGAGTCAGCTGATCAGAAGTTAGAAATAGGAGAGGTAGGTTCTGATTAGTGGATTCTCTGTGGAGTCAGCTGATCAGAAGTTAGAAATAGGAGAGATAGATTCTGATGAGTGGATTCTCTGTAGCTGATCAGAAGTTAGAAATAGGAGAGGTAGGTTCTGATGAGTGGATTCTTTGTGGAGTCAGCTGATCAGAAGTTAGAAATAGGAGAGGTAGATTCTGATGAGTGGATTCTCTGTGGAGTCAGCTGATCAGAAGTTAGAAATAGGAGAGGTAGGTTCTGATTAGTGGATTTTCTGTGGAGTCAGCTGATCAGAAGCTAGAAATAGTAGAGTGGATTTTCTGATTTATGGATTCTCTGTAGAGTCAGCTGATCAGAAGTTAGAAATAGTAGAGTGGATTTTCTGTGGAGTCAGCTGATCAAAAATTAGAAATATTAGAGGTAGGTTCTGATGAGTGGATTCTCTGAGGAGTCAGCTGATCAAAAGTTAGAAATAGGAGAGATAGGTTCTGTTAAGTGGATTCTCTGTGGAGTCAGCTGATCAGAAATTAGAAATAGGAGAGATAGGTTCTGATTGTGGATTCTCTGTTGAGTCAGCTGATCAGAAGTTAGAAATAGGAGAGGTAGGTTCTGATTAGTGGATTCTCTGTAGAGTCAGCTGATCAGAAGTTAGAAACGGGAGAGGTAGATTCTGATGAGTTGATTCTCTGTGGAGTCAGCTGATCAGAAGTTAGAAATAAGAGAGGTAGGTTCTGATTAGTGGATTCTCTGTAGAGTCAGCTGATCAGAAGTTAGAAACGGGAGAGGTAGATTCTGATGAGTTGATTCTCTGTGGAGTCAGCTGATCAGAAGTTAGAAATAGGAGAAATAGTTTCTGAAGAGCGGATTCTCTGTGGAGTCAGTTGATCAGAAGTTAGAAATAGGAGAAATAGGTTCTGAAGAGCGGATTCTCTGCAGTGCCTGCCAATCAATACTGAATTTATTTCTCTGTATAGCGGGTTGTACATAATATCTTTATAGTAGATTTATGTGCAATCTGTTAATTGTGAGTTAGGATAAGTGTAAATAGTTAAGACTTGGTAGACTTTTATGCAGTCATTAAGTTATTTGTATAATTGCCTGCTCATAACTCTCAATAATCTAAGATTGTGAGTTCTGTACTAGTGGATTATTATTTGTCAGCTGGTTGAAAAATTTAAAATTGAAATTTAGAACTGATTTTGTGGAAGCAATGGATTGTCATATGAGTCAGTTGATTAGTGAGGCAGAGTTTCTTTAATTTTTATATAACTGTTATTTATTTTGTTGTTTGTGACATAGTTAGATATATTTGCATCAATAAAGCAGGTCGTAGTAAAAAAAATAAAATTACTGAATATCATGTTGCACTTCTATAGACCTATTTCGAGTTCCTTTTTATGAACGAGTTACGTCAGTTGAACCGAGTTCAATCAGCATAAATTATGTCATTAAACATTCAACTCATACTGTTAAGTCAGCATAAGTATTGTGACATCAGAAATTTATGGGAAAATGCATGAATGTGAAAGTTGTCTATATATATGACATTTAATTTTAAAATACAGGTATAGAAATGATAAGATTCTTGTTACTTTATTATAGACTCTTCAAAAGTTAACAATGTGGAGAAAAGGAGTTGAAATAAATAAAACAATGAGTTGTGTCTTGCCTATTTTCAGCTTGCCCTAGATACATGGAAAAGATTCATGGTAGAACCTCTTAAGGATCCTATAGTAAAACTTTTGTTAGCAGATATTAAAAATGACAGACTCAGTAGTACTGTTCATCAAACAGTACTTCATGGTGTTATAAATTCATTTGTCAATGTGGAGGAATATAAAAAGAAACATCCATTACAACTATATGAAGAAGTGTTTGAAGCTCCTTTCAAGTCAGAGACTGGAGATTTTTACAGAGTAGAGGCAGCTAAACTCAAAGATGAATGCAACTGCTCGGAATTCATGGAAAAGGTTATATTAATAAAACGTTCGATTTTTGCAACTTTTAAATTTATTTTGGATAAATGATTTACAAATCATTTTAAAAGTCATACATCGTGAATGGAAGGGTTGTTGTTTTAATGATGAAATTATTGGTGTTTTTATACGACCGCAAAAAATTTGCATTCATATAATGCTATCATGTCGTTGTCATCGTTGGAAGACACATTAGGTTTCCGGACAATAACTTTTGTTAAAGTGAATGAATCTCTATGAAATTTTACCAGAAGGTTCAATACCACAAAAGGGAGGTTGGGTTATATTTTGGGGGTTATGGTACCTACTGTTTAGGAATTAGGGGCCAAAAAGGGCCAAAAACAAGCATTTTTGTAGTTTCATGACAATAACTTGTGTTTAAGTGTATGGATCTCTCTGAAATTGTACTGCAAGGTTCCATAGCACAAAGGGAAGGCTGGGATTGAGTTTGGGGGTAATTGCCCCAAAGGTTAAAAAATTAGGGGCAAAAAAGGGGCCAAAAACAAGCATTTTTCTAGTTTCCGGACAATAACTGATGTTAAAGTTTATGGAACTCTCTGAAATTGTACATTTTTCCTGATAGAAAATAATCTTCAAAATTTCAAAAAAAAAATCGGGGGAGGGAGGGGGTTTCAAAAAGTTTGGGGGGGGGGGATTTTTTTGGGGGTTCATATTTTATTTCTTGAAATTTTTAATTTTTGGGGGGGGGGATTTTTTTTTTCATTTTTTTGGGGGTTCATACTTTTTTATGCCCCCGCCGTAGCGGTGGGGGGGCATTAAGTTTTACCCTTGTCCGTCTGTACGTACATACGTACGTCCCAAAATTGGTTTCTGTTCTCTAACTTGAGTTTGCCTCAACCAAATGTTATGAAACTTATACACAATGCTTATTACCACAAAACACAGATCAAGTTTGAATTTTGGTGGCTTCAATTTAACCGTTCTAGAGTTATGCCCCTTTATAAATGGAAAAATTGCAAAATATTTTGTTTCCGTTCTATAACTTAAGTTTGCCTCAACCAAATGTTATGAAACTTATACACAATACTTATTACCACAAAACACAGCTCAAGTTTGAATTTTGGTGGCGTCACTTTAACCGTTCTAGAATTGTGCCCCTTTATAAATGGAAAAATTGCAAATTTTTTATTTTCTTCTAAATATCAAGTTATTTTTTAATTGGAGTTATCTTCCTTTGTCCATGATTATAGTTGAAACAACTACAATCAATGCTTTATACAATGCAATGGTTAATTTTGACTTTCACTGATAAAACACAGATCAAGTTGAATTTGGGTAGTGTCACTTTAACCATTATTGAGTTATGCCCCTTTATAAATCGAAAGATTGCAAAATTTTTAGTTTCCATTCTGTAACTTAAGTTTGCCCCAACCAAACATTATGAAACCTATACACAATATTCATTACCACAAAACTAAGATCAAGTACAAATTTTTTGTTTCCGTTTTCTAACTTTAGTTTGCCTCAACTAAATGTTATGAAACTTATACACTATGCTTATTACTACATAATACAGATTAAGTACGAAATTTGGTGGAAACTTTTACCATTCTTGAGTTATGCCCCTTTATAAACATAAAAATTGCTGAACTTTTCGTTTCCGTTCTCTAACTTTAGTTTGTCTCAACCAAATGTTATAAAACTTATACACAACCGTTCTAGAGTTGTGTGTGTTTACAAATACAAAGATTGCTGAATTTTTGTATCTGTTCTCTACTTAAGTTAGCCTCAACCAAATGTTATGAGACTTACACACAATGCTTATTACCACAAAACTCAGATTTAGTTCAAATTTTGGTAGCGTCACTTTAACCGTTCTTCAGTTATGTCCCTTTTTAACTATATGATATGCAAGCGGGGGAATCATCTGTGTCCACATGTGTCCACTATCCACAAAATTTCAAATTGTTTCAAAAAATTTTTTTTGGGGGGGGGGGGGGGGGGGGGGGGGGGGGGGGGGAGGGAGGACAAATGTTTTGGGTGATTTTTTTTTCTATAATTTTTTTGTTTATTTTCCCCCAAAATTTTACATTGATTATTACTGATTTATATATAAAAGCAACAAATACAGATATGGCAGGAGATACACACCAAACAGTGTGTGTAAATTATTATATATAACAGATTAACTTAGTATTGTGCAACAGCACAGTGTTGCGCAATAGTTAGAAATCTTCAATTGAAAATAAATACAAATCTTTTAACCAATTTCAATGGGATTAAATTAAGTCTTTAATTTTTGAGGGTTCTAACCTTGTATTACTATTTTGGATATTGGGCCCCATTATTAAATTGGTCTACATTGAGGTCCAAAGGGTCCAAAATTAAACTTTGTTTGATTTCATCAAAAACTGAATTATTGAGGCTCTATGATATGCTGAATCTTATTGTGCATTTAGATTTTTTATTTTGGGCCCTGTTTTCAAATTTAATCCATATTAAGGTTTGAAGGGTCCAAAATTAAACTTTGTTTGATTTCAACTAAAATTAAATTTTTGGTGTTTCTTTTTTTTGCTGAATCTAACCATGTTGTTAGATTTTGGATGTCAGACCATATTAGGTAAATTAAATGTCCCATTTCAAATTTTTATGATCTTTGACCACATTTATTTTGTGTCAGAAACCTATATTATGTCAAAAATTTGATCACAATCCAAATTCAGACAGTATCAAGCTTGAATATTGTGTCCAAACTTGCCCCAACTGTTCACAGTTCGACCTCTGTGGTCGTATCAGGATGCGCTCGGCTAAGCATTTTACTGATATTATGATTTACAACTTAATATTAAAATTTAGTGTGAAACTTTAATCCAATTAGATATGAAATTAGTCATTGTAATAGAAACAATATAAGTTTTTATATTTAGTCTGTAATTTTACTGCACAAAGGCTATTCAAAAGTTAAAAACAATTATCATCTTGCTGATAAATTTTCAGGTAATAATAAAATTAGACAATGAAGATTTTAGGAGTAGGAAATTTTTACATCCCAGCTCCTACAGCAAAGTGACGCATGAATGTCAACAGAGAATGGTGGCTGACCATCTACAGTTCTTACATGGAGAGTGCAGAGAAATGGTCAGGGTAGAAAAAAGAAAAGGTTAGTATACTTTCTAAAAGTAATTTTGGCTTAACTTGAAGCCACACATTTCAATATCAAAATAAGAAAAACATAGATTTCAACTACTGTAATTGGTCATGTATTATCCAATCTTGTACATTGTTGGCACACCCATTTTCAAATGGAATTAAAAAAAAAAAAAAAATTGTCACTTATTGAAAACATCTTCGAGAAAATCTGGTTACTTCTGTGTGATTGTTTGGTGTATTTTCATGGAAAAACCTATTTTCTATCATCAAGTAGAAGTTGAAATGCTTTTAAATGACTCAAGAACACTTCACAAGTGTTTAGATAAGCCAAAATTACTCCATAAAAGTTTGAAAAGTTGTGTTTCTCATTAACTGGAAATAGGAAAAGAATGTGTTAATCGCAAAAAAATATGTTGAGAGTGTTCGGAAAATCCATACTTAATAGATATTACAAAAGAATACAACTTTGAAAGTAAAACAGTACCGTCCTTACTAGAATACTGTTAAATTTATTCATACAAGAGTATTTGACCTTTAACTATAACAAAACACATGTAGCTATATCAAACTTCAAATCTGAACGAAAAGCCTATTAGTTTTGTAGTTTATACATCATTATCCGTAAGCTGGTTTCTGGCTGACTACTATACTTCATTCATAGCATTAAATGTATGGATTCAAGTTTATGTTAAGCAATGCTATGAAAAGAAATGAGAAATATGTAATAAAGCATTTAATTTTGATATTTGGATTTTTAAAAATTAAATTGCACATTAATATGTATTAGGTAAATTATTGGAGTTTTGAAAAGAACTTAGGGCACCCTCTACTATTTCCATATCAAACATGAGGGAATGTTAAACAAACATTGTTAAATTAAATTTTTCTCTTATTTCTTGCTTTAATATAGAACTCTATATTAATTAGTACCCCTGCTTTGAAATTTTAATTTTTGAGTAAAAGACTGTGGGCAAAAAAAGACTGAATTAGGTACATTATTGTCCTTAAACTATTCTCCATAAAATTTTGTCTTGAGAAAACTAGAGCACCAATTTTTGAAATTAAACAATTTTTTCATTATTTACTATAAAGCTTTTATTTACGTCAATACATATACAGGGTTAAAAAATAAAATAAAACAGATTGTTCAGTCTGACTGTTTCTCTAAAAAATGAAATGTGAAGGAAATGAAATCACCTACAAATTTCCAAACCATAAAAAGTTTTTTTTTTAATTTGATGTTTGCTTAAGTGTTATAAGAATATATATTTAGATATTTTCCTTGACAGATTTATCAAACATGTACCAGTTGTTGAAACCAATACATGGAGGTCTTGGTGTACTGATACAGGAGATAGAAACACATATCAAAAACACAGGCTTAGAGGCTGTAAAAAATCTCAAGGGAGATAATGTAAGTATATGTATTACAATAAGTGTCCAAAAATCTGGATGATATAACAAAGGCTTAGAGGCTGTCACAAATCCCCAGTGAGTTTGTGTCCGTAATGCATCGGATACCCTCCTGTACCACCCTGTCAAAATTCTTAGGGAAGCTAATAGGTATCTCACAATAAAAGGGGCTGTCAAAAGTATTTAGGCATCAAGGGAGATAAAGCATGGTACTCTCAACATTACAGGCTTTCAAGAATCTTATTGGGAATAATGAAGGTTTCAAATTCATTTTCAAGAAATTTTTTAAGGGGTGTTTATGAATAAAAGGAGGTAAGAGATATGTGTCAATGAGACAGCAATCCAATAACAAAAATAATCAAAAGACAACTTGAAGTCTACATACAATCTTCAACAATAAACAGATGTCTTTTTCATATGTCAAGCTCTTTATTGCTCTGAATATAAAAAAGAGGTGAATAAAGTCAAATACAAAACTAATCAAAGATCTGCCATCAACATCAAATTCTCTAAAAAACAAAAATCAGTAAAATCATAAAGATATAACAAAGAACAACTATTAATGAGGTTCCTGTCTTGGGAGAGCACATGAACATCATAACAAAACTCCTCTATAGAAAATCCCCTTTTGGTTGCTAGAACCTGGTGCTTCAGTCTGTTTGTTCTGACTCATAAAGTTACATCAGCAGTCCTACAAGAGAATGGTTAGAATATTTTTATTTCACTCTATTTGGGGCTAACCTGGAACTTTTAAAAAAAATCTGTGAATAAGTTTTAGCATCCAATGATTATAAATATATTTTACTAAGACTTTACAATGCAAAACAAGCATGCTATATAAATATATATACTGAAAGGTTTTATTTTACAGATACCTGGCCAATTCGTAGAGTCAATTTTAGAGGTCCATGGTAAATATACAGAGCTCATCAAAGTTGTCTTTCATGCAGACCAGCAATTTGTTGGTGCTTTAGATAAGGTATAAACTTGTGTGCTGCAATCTCTTTCAAATTATATTATAATATGTTAACAGATCAGTGCTGAATTTAATCATGAAGAACACCAATTATTTTGGAAAACATTTTTAACCGGATTTTCGAAGTAAAAATCGGTTATTGATTAAGGGATGTACGGCTGGTGGGCGGGCGGCTGCCAAACAGTGTCCGTTAAATGTTGTGAAAATGCAGGAAAATCCGGTTTGCTGTCACTCGACAGCCTCTTGTCTAAAAGTATTTTGTATGAAATGAATCATTGAACTGCATATTTCTTTTTGATTATGTCAGCATGGTTTTGCCATTATATTTTAATTATCAGTCTGTAGACACAGTGTCCTGCTTAGGTCTTGGAGCCTCTTGTAAATAATTATCTTTTAATTGTTGTAAAAAAAAATCTTAATAAAAAGATTTCTAAGATATAACATAATTGACATTTATATCAGGAATTTTAGTTGATTTTACATAAAATTACATGACTTCCAACAAACCTTAATTGGCCTAAAGTAATTATACATTCCTTCCTTGATTTAGAGCCATCACCTGGCATCCATCAATCTCCTGTTAATGTAAAATAAAATCCTTGAAAACCTGTTGTTTAATTGTAAGAAAATTGGTCACAATCATTTTTATACGACCATGGTGTATATTGGTATGACGTTGGCGTCATCGTCGTTCGAAGACACATTGGTTTTCACACAATAACTTTAGTTTAAGTGAATGGATCTCTATGAAATTTTACCATTAGGTTCAATACCACAAAAGGAAGGTTGGGATCGATTTTGGGGGTTATGGTACCAACAGTTAAGGAATAAGGGGCCAAAAAGGAGCCAAAAATAAGCATTTTTGTAACTTCCAGACAATAACTTGTGTTTAAGTAAAATTGAGAATGGAAATGGGGAATGTGTCAAAGAGACAACAACCCGACCATAGAACAGACAACAGCAGAAGGTCACCAACAGGTCTTCAATGCAGGGAGAAATTCCCGCACCCGGAGGCGTCCTTCAGCTGGCCCCTAAACAAATATATATACTAGTTCAGTGATAATGAACACCATACTAAACTCCAAATTGTACACAAGAAACTAAAATTGAAAATAATACAAGACTAACAAAGGCTAGAGGCTCCTGACTTGGGACAGGCGCAAAAATGCGGCGGGGTTAAACATGTTTATGAGATCTCAACCCTCCCCCTATACCTCTAGCCAATGTAGAAAAGTAAACGCATAACAATACGCACATTAAAATTTAGTTCAAGAGAAGTCCGAGTCTGATGTCAGAAGATGTAACCAAAGAAAATAAACAAAATGACAATAATACATAAATAACAACAGACTACTAGCAGTTAACTGACATGCCAGCTGTATGGATCTCTCTGAAATTATACCACAAGTTTCCATACCACAAAGGGAGAGTTAGGATTTGCTTTGGGGGTTAGGACTCAAACCGTTTAGGAATTGGGGGCAGAAAAGGGGGGAAAACAAGGGTGTCCTGGTAAATGGACAAATACTTTAGTTCAAAACATAATTTAAAGCAGTGTAAGGGAGGTAATTCAAATACATCATTTGAATTACCTCCCTTACACTACTTTTAAATTATGTATAAAGTAATGGTTAATGAACAATTAAGACAATTTAAAAGCAGTGTAAGGGAGGTAATCCAAATACAACGTTTTGATTACCTCCCTTACACTGCTTTTAAATTATGTTTAAAGAAATGCATAATTATAAAGGAAGACCAGTAAAAATATTTCCAAATGTTGCATCTTTTTTTTTTTACAAAATAATCCATATGAAAGATTTGACACCATATTTTAAATTCTATTATAAAATAGATTAAGTTAGCACAATGGTAAATTTAAATGGGTAATTATGGTTGCAAACTCCATTGGAAATTTGAAAAAAGGGGGGGTAAAAAGAAATTGTGGGGGGTCAATTTTTTCTCATTTCTGATTTCAGAAATAAAAAAGAAAAACAGCATAGTGTATTGCACAAAAGCAAAAAAAAAGGGGGGGGGGGGGGGGGGAGAATTTTTTTTTTTTTTGTGGGGGAGGGGGGTCAATTTGCAACAGCAAAGTGTATTGCACAAAAGCAAAAAATTGAATATAAATTCAAATCATATAACCAATGCTAAGTTCTTTGACTACAGTTATTCTGTGTCAGAAACCTTTTATGTGTCAAATATTTAATTACAATCCAAATTCAGACCTGTATCAAGTGCGAATATTGCGTCCATTTTTGCCCCAACTGTTCAGGGTTAGACCTCTGCGGTCATATCCAGCTGCGCTTGGCGAAGCAATTTATTAAGTTTAAAGTTTCAAAATTGTTAGATATTGCAACCAACATGGCTGCTGTAGCTTTAAATAGAACATAAGGGTAAAACAGTCATTCTTGTTGTATGTTATATGTTTCCCTGTAAATATTACTGGTAGTTAGTTTATAAATGTGTAAAAATTAAAAGTAATAAGTAAAAAGCAGGACAATAAATTTATCCACAAGATAACTACTTATTTGAACAAAGAAAAAAGATGTATTCAGTAACAGGGTTAATGGGTAATAGGGGAAATTGGAGACATTTGTGTTAGACACATAATTTACTTCTTTTTTTGCATTTTCAGGCTTGTGCTGCTGCTATTAATTATAAACAGAATCCTAGACATGGTTGTAAATCCCCAGAGCTGGTAAGCTGCTAATATATCAAAGAACCTGCTGTTTTAAAATGATTTAAGTTTAATCAGTGTAGATAGAAACAACATTGGAGTCATATTTCAATAGCATAGTCGTTTCAGTTAGTACTAGGATCTACCCTGTTTGTATGATTGCCGTGATTGTGCAACTAATTTTGTATTATCTAGGTTTAAGGGTTGACAGCCACAAATCCATATTCATTTTCTTTGTCCATTAACATCAAATGATTGTCATGAGAATTTTGTAAATCCACAAATGCTAGTAGATTGACAGACACTAAATTGTAACAGACTTTTCTACTAGGAGTGAAACTCTGCACTAATTTTAAATTAATCGTTTTGGTAAGAAACTATGACTTTTTCATTTCACCACATAAAGATAGGCACCAGAAATTAAGATAAAAGGGAAAATGACATTTTTGGTAGTCTAGTGTTGGCATGCTTGATTTCAGTGCTTTGATAGTCTAGTGTTGGCATGCTTGATTTCAGTGCTTTAAGTTGTTGTTTATATTTTATTTGCTGCTTCTCAACCAATCATGCAAGATTTAAGGTTTAAGAGCACATATTGTTGGCCTTGTAGTCAGAATAATATAACACATATCCCTGCAGACAATTATTTTGTGAGCTAGCATATGAAAAATTAGTATGTCAGTCTAGTGCAAAGCAGGGTAAATTCATATCAGAACCGTGCTACCGTCATTAAATTTGGCCATTAGACATATTTTTATGCCCCCGCCGTAGCGGTGGGGGCATTAAGTTTTACCCTTGTCCGTCTGTACGTATGTATGTACGTCCCGAAATTGGTTTCCGTTCTCTAACTTGAGTTTGCCTCAACCAAATGTTATGAAACTTATACACAATGCTTATTACCACAAAACACAGATCAGGTTTGAATTTTGGTGGCGTGACTTTAACCGTTCTAGAGTTATGCTCCTTTATAAATGGAAAAATTGTAAAATTTTAAGTTTCCGTTCTCTAACTTAAGTTTGCCTCAACCAAAAGTTATGAAACTTATACACAATGCTAATTACCACAAAACACAGATCAAGTTTGAATTTTGGTGGTGTCACTTTACCGTTCTAGAGTTATGCCCCTTTATAAATCGAAAAATTGTAAAATTTTTAGTTTCCGTTCTCTAACTTAAGTTTGCCTCAACCAAATGTTATGAAACTTATACACAATGCTTATTACCACAAAACACAGATCAAGTTTGAATTTTGGTGGCGTCACTTTAACCGTTCTAGAGTTATGCCTCTTTATAAAAGGAAAAATTGCAAAATTTTTAGTTTCCGTTCTCTAACTTAAGTTTGCCTCAACCAAATCTTATGAAACTTATACACAATGCTTATTACCTCAAAACACAGATCAAGTTTGAAATTTGGTGGCGTCACTTTAACTGTTCTAGAGTTATGTCCCTTTATAAATGAATATCATGTTATTTTTATACGACCGCAAAAATTGAAAATTTTTTGGTCGTACATTGGTATGACGTTGGCGTCGTCGTCGTCGTCGTCTGGCGTCGTCCGGCGTCGTCCGAAGACACATTGGTTTTCGCACTCTAACTTTAGTTTAATTGAATGGATCTCCATGAAATTTAACCATAAGGTTCAATACCTTGAAAGGAAGGTGGGGATTGATTTTGGGGGTTATGGTACCAACAGTTAAGGAATTAGGGGCCAAAAAGGGGCCAAAAATAAGCATTTTTGTAACTTCCAGACAATAACTTGTGTGTAAGTGTATGGATCTCTCTGACATTGTACCACAAGGTTCCATATCACAAAGGGAAGGCTGTAATTGATTTTGGGGGTAATTGCCTCAAAATTTTAGGAATTAGGGGCCAAAAAAGGGGCAAAAAACAAGCATTTTTCTAGTTTCATGACAATAACTTGTGTGTAAGTGTTTGGATATTTCTGAAATTGTACTACAAGGTTCCATATCACAAAGGGAAAGCTGGAATTGAGTTTGGGGGTAATTGTCCGAAACGTTTAGGAATTGGGGGCCAAAAAGGGGCCAAAAATAAGCATTTTTCTAGTTTCCAGACAATAACTTGTGTTCAAGTGTATGGATCGCTCTGAAATTGTACTGCAAGGTACCATACCACAAAGGGAAGGCTTGGATTGAGTTTGGGGGTGATGAATCATAAGGGGGTTCAAAAAATTTGGGGGGGGGATTTTTTTTTTTCTTTTTTTTTCTTTTAAAATTTTCCATTTTAAGTTGGTTATTTCTGATTAATATTTAAAAGCAAATAATAATGATATGGTAGGAGATACACACCAAACAGGATGTGTAAATTATTATATAATAAGTATTGTGCAATAGCAAGAAATTTTCAATTGCACAGTATTGCACAATAGCAAGAAATCTTCAATTGCACAGTATTGCGCAATAGCAAGAAATCTTCAATTGCACAGTATTGCGCAATAGCAAGAAATATCCAATAGCACAAAATTGCGCAATAGCAAGAAATTGTCAATTGTACAGTATTGCACAATAGCAAGAAATATTCAATTGCACAGTATTGTGCAAAAGAAGATACTTCGTATAAATTGCTTATTTCTTGATCAATTTCAATGGGGTTTTATTCTTGAATTCTTGGGGTTCTTTAATATGCTGAATCTAACCGTGTATTATGTTTTTTCGATTTTGGGCCCCGTTTTTAAATTGGTCCACATTGAGGTCCAAAGGGTCCAAAATTTAACTTTGTTTGATTTCATCAAAAATTGAATTATTGGGGTTCTTTGATATGCCGAATCTAACCGTGTATTTAGATTCTTAATTTTTGGTTCCGTTTTCAAATTGGTCTACATTAAGGTCAAAAGGGTCCAAAATTAAACTTAGTTTGATTTTAACAAAAATTGAATTTTTAGGATACTTTGATATGCTGAATCTAAACCTGTATTTAGATTTTTGATTATGGGCCCAGTTTTCAAGTTGGTCCAAATCGGGGTCCAAAATTAAACTTTGTTTGATTTCAACAAAAATTGAGTATATGGGGTTCTTTGATATGCTGAATCTAACCATGTATTTAGATTTTTGATTTTTGGGCCCCGTTATCAACTTTGTCCACATTGAGGTCAAAAGGGTCCAAAATTAAACTTTGTTTGATTTCATCAAAAATTGAATTCTTGGGGTTCTTTGATATGCTGAATCTAACCATGTATTTAGATTTTTTATTTGTGGACCCGCTATCAAATTGGTTCATATTGAGGTCAAAAGGGTCCAAAATTAAACTTTGTTTGATTTCATCAAAAATTGAATTATTGGGGTTCTTTGATATGCCAAATCTAACCGTGTATTTAGATTTTTAATTTTGGGTCCCGTTTTTAAATTGGTCTACATTAAGGTCCAAAGGGTCCAAAATTAAACTTAAGTTTGATTTTAACAAAAATTGAATTCTTGGGGTTCTTTGATATGCTGAATCTAAACATGTGTTTAGATTTTTGATTATGGGACCAGTTTTCAAGTTGGTCCAAGTTGGGGTCCAAAATTAAACTTTGTTTGATTTCAACAAAAATTGAATATATGGGGTTCTTTGATATGCTGAATCTAAACATGTATTTAGATTTTAGATTTTTGGCCCAGTTTTCAAGTTGGTCCAAATTGGGGTCCAAAATTAAACTTTGTTTGATTTCAACAAAAATTGAATATATGGGGTTCTTTGATATGCTGAATCTTACCATGTATTTAGATTTTTTATTTGTGGGCCCGCTATCAAATTGGTTCATATTGAGGTCAAAAGGGTCCAAAATTAAACTTTGTTTGATTTCATCAAATATTTAATTATTGGGGTTCTTTGATATGCCAAATCTAACCGTGTATTTAGATTTTTAATTTTGGGTCCCGTTTTTTAAATTGGTCTACATTAAGGTCCAAAGGGTCCAAAATTAAACTTAGTTTGATTTTAACAAAAATTGAATTTTTGGGGTTCTTTGATATGCTGAATCTAAACATGTGTTTATATTTTTGATTATGGGACCAGTTTTCAAGTTGGTCCAAGTTGGGGTCCAAAATTAAACTTTGTTTGATTTCAACAAAAATTGAATATATGGGGTTCTTTGATATGCTGAATCTAAACATGTATTTAGATTTTAGATTTTTGGCCCAGTTTTCAAGTTGGTCCAAATTGGGGTCCAAAATTAAACTTTGTTTGATTTCAACAAAAATTGAATATATGGGGTTCTTTGATATGCTGAATCTTACCATGTATTTAGATTTTTTATTTTGTGGGCCTGCTATCAAATTGGTTCATATTGAGGTCAAAAGGGTCCAAAATTAAACTTTGTTTGATTTCATCAAAAATTGAATTATTGGGGTTCTTTGATATGCCAAATCTAACCGTGTTTTTAGATTTTTAATTTTGGGTCCCGTTTTTTAAATTGGTCTACATTAAGGTCCAAAGGGTCCAAAATTAAACTTAGTTTGATTTTAACAAAAAATGAATTCTTGGGGTACTTTGATATGCTGAATCTAAACATGTGTTTAGATTTTTGATTATGGGACCAGTTTTCAAGTTGTCCAAGTTGGGGTCCAAAATTAAACTTTGTTTGATTTCAACAAAAATTGAATATATGGGGTTCTTTGATATGCTGAATCTAACCATGTATTTTGATTTTGGACATTGGACCATAATAGGTAAATTAAAAAAATTGAAGTTCTTAGACCACATTCTTTCTGTGTCAGAAACCTATGCTGTGTCAAATATTTAATCACAATCCAAATTCAGAGCTGTATCAAGCTTGAATGTTGTGTCCATACTTGCCCCAACTGTTCAGGGTTCGACCTCTGCGGTCGTATCAAGCTGCGCCCAGCGAAGCATTTTATTAAAATTGGAGTTATCTTCCTTTGTCCCCGATTATAGTTGAATCAACTACAATCAATGCTTTATACAATGCAATGTTTAATTTTGACTTCCACTGATAAAACACAGATCTAGTTGAATTTGGGTAGTGTCACTTTAACCATTATTGAGTTATGCCCCTTTATAAATCGAAAGATTGCAAAATTTTTAGTTTCCATTCTGTAACTTAAGTTTGCCCCAACCAAACATTATGAAACCTATACACAATATTCATTACCACAAAACTAAGATCAAGTACAAATTTTTTGTTTCCGTTTTCTAACTTTAGTTTGCCTCAACCAAATGTTATGAAACTTATACACAATGCATATTACTACATAATACAGATTAAGTACGAAATAAGGTGCCGACACTTTTACCATTCTTGAGTTATGTCCCTTTATAAACATAAAAATTGCTGAATTTTTTAGTTTGTCTCAACCAAATGTTACTCAAACTTATACACAACCGTTCTAGAGTTATGCGTGTTTACAAATAGAAAAATTGCTGAATTTTTATACGACTGCAAAAAATTTTGCGGCCGTATATTGGTATGACATTGGCGTCGTCGTCGTCGTCCGAAGACACATTGGTTTTCGCACTCTAACTTTAGTTTAAGTGAATGGATCTCTATGAAATTTTTCCATAAGGTTCAATACCATAAAAGGAAGGTGGGGATTGATTTTGGGGGTTATGGTACCAACAGTTAAGGAAAAAGGGGCCAAAAATAAGCATTTTTGTAACTTCCAGACATAACTTGTTTGTAAGTGTATGGATCTCTCTGACATTGTACCACAAGGTTCCATATCACAAAGGGAATGCTGGGATTAATTTTGGGGGAAATTGCTTCCAAATTTTAGGAATTAGGGGCCAAAAAGGGACAAAAAACAAGCATTTTTCTAGTTTCATGACATTAACTTGTGTGTAAGTGTATGGATCTCTCTGACATTATACCACAAGGTTCCATATCACAAAGGAAATGCTGGGATTGATTTTTGGGGTAATTGCCTCAAAATTTTAGAAATTAGGGGCCAAAAAGGGGGAAAAAAAAGCATTTTTCTAGTTTCCAGACAATAACTTGTGTTCAAGGATATGGATCTCTCTGAAATTGTACTGCAAGGTACCATACCACAAAGGGAAGTCTGGGATTGATTTTGGGGGTAATTACCTCAAAATTTTAGGAATTAGGGGCCATAAAGGGGCAAAAAAACAACAATAACTTGTGTTAGTGTATTGATCTTTATGAAATTGTACTACAAGGTTCCATATCACAAAGGGAAAGCTGGGTTTGAGTTTGGGGGTAATTGCCCTAAAAGTTTAGGAATTTGGGGCCAAAAAGAAGCATTTTTCTAGTTTCCAGACAATAACTTGTGTTCAAGTGTATGGATCTCTCTGAAATTGTACTGCAAGGTACCATACCACAAAGGGAAGACTGGGATTGAGTTTGGGGGTAATGAATCATAAGGGGGTTCAAAAAATTTGGGGGGGGGGGATATTTTTTTCCTTTTTTTTTCTTTAAAATTTTCCATTTTAAATTGGTTATTTCTGATTTATATATAAAAGCAAATAATAATGATATGGTTTGAATAGGTAAATTAAAAAATTTTAAGTTCTTGGACCACATTCATTCTGTGTCAGAAACCTATGCTGTATCAAATATTTAATTACAATCCAAATTCAGTGCTGTATCAAGCTTGAATGTTGTGTCCATATTTGCCCCAACTGTTCAGGGTTCGACCTCTGCGGTCGTATCAAGCTGCGCCCCAGCGGAGCATTTTATTAGTTTCTGTTCTCAACTTAAGTTTGCCTCAACCAAATGTTATGAAACTTAAACACAATGCTTATTACCACAAAACTCATATCAAGTTCAAATTTGGGTAGCGTCACTTTTATTGAATTATGTGAATTGAATTGTATAATTTTTTGTTATAGCTTTCAAGATACTGTGATAATTTACTAAAGAAAAGTTCTAAAGGTATATCAGAGAATGAATTAGATGACAAACTAGCCAATTGTATAACTGTGTTCAAATATCTGGATGATAAAGATGTTTTCCAAAGGGTAAGAGTTCTAATTTAAATTACATTCACATATTTCAAATAAGATTACGTCATAGATGCCTAATAGAAGAGCAATATTCAAATACTTGTATGAATACTAGACATCTTTCAATTAAGCTGGCTAAGGTTTATGCTTTATAGATCCATGATAATAACAACCACATAAAATGATATAGGATTAGATACCGTTAAAAGCCTTGCATAGTCCGCGGTTTTATTCTACAAAATTGAACCAGCCAGACAGGGTGCGGACTATAGAGTACAATAAGCAAGAAATAAGAGAGAAAATTCAATTTCGTGAGGTGGTTTGTTTACGTTCCACCATGTTTGTTATTGATATTGTAGAGGGCGCTCTTATCATTTTCAAAACTAATAATTTTACCTAATTAATATTAATAAGTTATTTTTATTCAATATCAAATTAATACTGATAAATTTAAAAATTAAATGCTTCATTACAAATTTCTCATTTCTTTTCACTGCATTGCTTAAAATAAACTGGAGTCTGCTTGAATGAAATGGATTGAAAAAAGTATAAAAGTCAACCGTAAACCAGCTTACGATGTATAAACTACAAAACGTAATCGGTTATTATTCGTTCCGTTTTGGTGTTTCCTACTGACAAATATGTTTTTTATTAGCCTAAGACCTTTCTAACGTTAATTTTATAGATATATTAAACATATTTTACACAAGGATGGAACTGTTTTACTTTCAAAGTGGTATTATAGTGATATCTATTAAGTACGGATTTCGACTCTACCGTTTTAATTTTGTTTTACAGGTGCTATTCAAACTTCCAGTTTAAACATACACAAGTTTCTAAATTGTTTTTTTGTGTGATTTTGACTTATTTTAACAATTGTGAAGTGTTCTAGAATCATTTACAAGCAGTTACAACTTCTGTTTGATGATGGAAAACGGGTTTTTCCATGAAAATACCGCAAACTACCACACACGATTTGAAATTACCGGAGTTTCATTAGACATTTTCTAACAGTTACAAAAAGTTTTTACCTGAAATTTCGTGGGGAGAAGGGGGTGTGGACAATGTACCAGTGCGACCTATACAAGCCCGATTACGGTACTGAATGATCTTATATAGAGTTGACATATGCTTAGATATTAATATTTTTCTTTTCATTTTTTGAGATATTATTATTGTAATATATCAGATTTTGCAATGATGCAATACTGTGTTTTAACAGTTTACTTATAATAAGCTTTCTTTTTATACAACGATTATTAGATTTATGTGCACATTTTATAAAGTTATGTACTAAATATACACCTGAGTGTTGTGGTTACTTTATTTTCTGGTTTAAATTGTTTCAGTTTTATTCTAAGATGTTGGCCAAACGTTTGATATATACACAATCAGCATCAATGGATGCAGAGGAAGCCATGATTAATAAGTTAAAGGTAGGAATATTAGTAATAAGCTGGTACAATTAAAAAGAAAGGATTGGCACAAACATTTTCTGCTATTCTAATGTTAAAAAAGTAATTGTATATTACAGAAATTGTGTATTTGTTTTATTAGCTGTTTTTATAAGTAAAGCAAAACTATGCACATTCATTTGCGAAAAATGTGTTGTTTCCAGTTTTCATTGAGAGATAACACTTTTCTAAAGAAAATGATCAGAATATTGTGAAAAAAATACTACACAATGTCAAATTACAGTGTGACAATTATTGTTCTGATTACTAGATCTTTTAACACACTTGCATTGAAAGAAAGGCTGGATTGAAAAGGTTTTAGAGATATAGTGATCCTAATGTTTGTCTTTTGGTAATACTTTTTAAAACCCTTCTCTCGTACCATATGTCGGAAACTTTCATGCTTAGTGAGATTGGTTGTCATAATAATGATAAAACTTTTACAGGAGTAATGGAATTTTTCATGTTTGGCCTATTGTAGCATAATGTGAACACTACTCTTCTAAGACTGTTTGCAAAAAAAGCCGCCTTACTTTTGGGACGGTTGATCTTATGGTACTATCATTTTGATTGACAATTTTTGCAGGAGTTTTGAGACTGATCTTTTTTGGTCTATTGAAGCATAATGATACCATGTAAAATTCTCCACTGAGACGATGTTTGAAAGGTTTCATACATGTGAGCATACTGACACCATGTAAAATTTTCCCCTGAGACCATATGTTTGAACGATTTCATACTAATGAGATTTATGTCGTTATGTATAGTTCACTATACTATATCCCATTATTATATGACAATTTTTGCTGGAGTTATTGGACTTTGACCATTATGACTTATTGATGACCAGTTGCCTAACAGCTTTCAAATTTAGGACTGGGGTCTATTTGGTGATCATGTGTAGTATACCAAACTATATTATACTCTAGTGCCCTGTAGTTATCTACATTCTCCTCCTTTAGTCTCTCCAGGATAGTTGTCTCATATGCAATCATACCACATCTTCTTATTTTTGTTACCACCAGTTTCATTTCATGTTTATTTGTAGGATTTATTGGAATTTTCTTTATATTTATCCTTATTGAATCAAGCTCTAGATGAATGATTTTTGTCGTAAAGGATTATTTTTTTAGTATGTTGGTTCCTTGTAGTAAATACCTTTGTTCAGATTTCTATTCATGAGATAATAAATTGTATATTTATAAAATGGTGGGGACATTTCACTACAATATAGCAATCTTGTATTATTTGTACAATTATAATATTTTCAGCAAGCCTGTGGTTATGAATTTACAAACAAACTACATAGGATGTTTACAGATATGAATATAAGTACTGGTTTGAATAATGACTTCAGTGATTTCCTAAAGAGACAGAATGCATCAGATCTGGGAGTTAACTTTTCTATATCAGTGTTACAGGTAAATACAGCTTTCTTCCACCTAATTAGTCTCGTACATTTGCTTATATAATTTTTGATATCTGACATCAGTCTTTTGAAATATAAGAAAAAAACTATAGTTTTATAAAATTTAGTGTGGTCCACCTTAAACTAAGCAGAAGCATTCAGTTTATTTTATGACAAATTACGTAAAGTCATATTACTTATAGTCCTGTAAGAAAATAAAAAGTGAAATTGACTTCATTGACTTGATTTTATTTTACTGATTATTATAGGATAGACTAAGGTATTTGGATATGTCTGTAGGTTAATATAAGCTTATTTTATTAGATTGAGACATAATGACCTACATTTCATGTCATATTTAGAATTATATTTTTCTTCTATATTAAGTAAATAAAGTTGGTTTAGAGCGGCAGTAGGAGGAACAACTCACATTTTCTAATCATAGATTATTCATATTATTATAAATGTGAAATATTGGATACTTATTACTTTAATATATATTTTCTAGGCTGGAGCATGGCCAATTGGACAGAGTAATTTACCTACATTTGCAATACCTCAAGAGTTAGAAAAGAGTGTTAGAATGGTAATGTTATAATCGAAATAAATTTCATTAGATAACTTGCTGTCAATATAAATGATATCAAATGCCCAAAAAGGTGTAAGCAAGGGCCAACCCTGAGAGAGACTCATGGGTAGTCAAGTTTATTAAACACCCTGTAATAGTAGTAGTATATTTGTTGATTGTATTTCACAACTCTCAATATTCCTGATGGATAAATAATAATCCACCATTTGTTGCTAATTTTGTATATTTTTACACCATTCTTGTTCAATTTTTCAACTGCAACAAATTCTTATCTTTAAATCTTTGACAGTTTAAGCAGAATTTTTACCTGAAGTGTGTTAACCATTTATATTTGAATTCACTCTACTAATTCTGGGCAGAATTGAAACTTAAAGCATATTTAGAATAACAAGTAACAATGTTCATGCTATAAGGAAACTCTTTCAAACTTACTGACCTAAAAGCTTTAGTTTAACATTGCCAGTAATCAGAAATTCTGAGGTCATTGAGTTTTTATCTGGCCTGGGACTAAATCACATGATGTGAGACATATGGATGCTAATCCAACTGGCAGAGGCTGCTCTGACTTCTAGTATCAATCTTAGTATTTCAGAATGTTTTATTTAAAGAAAGGTTATGGTCTGAAGTTTTTATTTGGAATACATTTTGATAGTTCAATGCTAAAAACAACATTAAAATATTGCACTTAGGTCTGTTTCAAAGGCACTATGAGTAATTGGTCAACTGTATTTGGTCTAAGATATTGTTGTAAGATGTACATACCTAAAGGTAAGGAATCTCCTGACCTTTACATCTGTTCATAGTTCAATGACATAATATGAGTGATGGACCTTTTATATTTGCTCCATAGAATTGTTGTAATGACTGACAGGGGTCCCCTACCTTGACCATATTTTCATGATTCAATTGTCTATGTTAGTTTTTGCACTGAAGTGAGTTTCTTTGTAACTATGAGTAATTAAAACATATGGATTTAGTGACATAGTTGATTTTTTTTTCTGTTCATCAGGAATAACCTGACTTGAATTTCATTTCATAGTTCAGAGATCAAAGTTTATTTACTGAGACCAGTTTCTCAACTCCTGAATAATAGATCAATTATATTCTAATTATAGTTTTGATGTAAAATGTAGATCTCTGTCTGATAGGATGATTTGACCTTGACCTATCAACAGTCTATTGATCAGTAAATTTCTGACTTTCTATGTGTGATAGGTCAACTATAATATGTCTATGAAATTATTGTAAGGTGAAAATGTCCATCTCACAGGGGATATTTCACAGCGAAAAGTTTGAGGTTGTTTGAATGATTGACTACTTTGTCTGCTTTCAGTCGAGTACATTTTACCTTGAGAAGTTCAGTCATAGTTTGTATGATTGACATCTTCTATACTATTAAATTTGGAGACCAAAATTTTTTAGCCAGTTTGTCTCTGAGGCCGACGATCGTCTGAAGTATTATATAATAATAAATAGTTAGTGGATGAAATGTACTTTATAACTTCATATAGTAATTGCTTTAATTAGCGTAGCTTAATTAATTAAACCCCAAATAAAGTTCCATAGCTGGTTCCTTACTGTCTACGTTTTGTAAGCAGGCAGAAATGGTTTTGTATTCAATTTGTCTTGAATTCATGACAACTAGGCCCAAGGCCAACTCACCCAACTCAAACACTCTCACTAATTATTACAACTTGCATCACTTTATCAAACTCGCACCATTCAAAAAAAAAAAACAAAAAAAAAATATAACAAACTCGAAGAAATGTGTTTTGTCATTAGATTGTTTTCTTCTTCTCTTTGTAAATTCCTCCATTCTCAGAGCACCCGTGTCACACAGAGACAGAACTCACACCACTCGAAAAAAAACCAAAAAACTACAAAATCACACCACTGAAGAAATGTTTTAAATCATCAGAGAGTTCTAAATTGTCTTCTTTTAGTTATTTCCTCCGTTCTTGGAGCACCCGTATCACACAGAGACAGAACTTGACTCGCACCTTTCAAAAAAAAAAAAAAAATACTGCAAACTAGCACCACTGAGAAATGTTTTAATCATCAGTATTCTAGGTTGTCTTCTTCTTCTCGGAGTTATTTCCTCCGTTCTAGGAGCACCTGTGTAACACCGAGACAGAAGCTACTAATTGGACATTCAAACTCCTATGGAAGAAGAACTGACAAACTAATCAAAACTATCAACATAATGCACCAGTGCATAAAAACAGTTTGAGAAACACGAACCCAAGCTGTGTATCACCATAAACATTTCAAGTAGACTTCAACCAGATTTTTTCTAGTAGGTTTATATTAATGTAAGACACTTTTTAGTAGTAAATTTTCTGGTAGATTACCTGATTGATATTTATTTTTTAGTTTGAAACATTTTACAGTGGAAAATTCAGTGGTAGAAAACTTACCTGGTTGCACAGTTTTTGTAATGGTAAGTCAATGGAAATTTTATAACATAGAAAGAAGTACCCAGTTTTGATCCAAGAATCAGTTGAGGGTTATAATTATTTTCAGACTGAAAAACCCACCATTATACATAGTTGAATGTTCTTGGTTTAATGAATGCCTGTAAATTCTGCTAGCCTACCACATTTGTTTTTTTGGTGTTGATATTTTTATGAAAATAGTAATTTACCTGAGATGTTTGTTATACAAATGACATGAACAGATCATTAGGTGAATAATGGAAATGTTTTTTCTGATTACATGTATTATTAAAATTAAATATATAGTTAGAATTTAATTGTATAAATCTGATATTCATTTGAATTTTGTAATAATTGAATCTTGTAGTCAATAACAATTTTATCATCTAGATACTGGTAAAGTTAAAAGAAAATTAAAGTTTACATTAAAGTTTCAGAAAAAGCTGTCAGTATATTCATGTATTTTATTTCTTGTTCAACAATATGCATAAAAAGGATAACAGAAATTACCGAAAAATTAAAACAATACAACAGACCACACTTATCGCTAACACCTGATTCCACTGAAAAAATAAATGTAAAAACAAAGACAGATAACAAAGATGTAGTGTTTCCCCCAGGCATGTTTAGCATGGATAGACGCCATGCCCCCTTTTCACTTCTTTGGATGACGCCATGGTCTCGTAAATGATTGAATTCCAGAAAGTGGATGTATAAAGTCCGGAATTGGCTTGGGTGTGTTTCTCTACTTATTTTCACTTGATGATATTTATTTCGATATCATATTTCTCCTCAATCCGATTTGAACGATTAAAAGATCAATTCATATGGTGATTCAAATCTTTCAAAAATGAAATCTAGTGAAAATTATAGTACTTATCTGAACAAAAAGTTTGTAAGCATTTCTCAGTACCACTGATTATCAATTTCACCTGCTTTCTTATAGATTGAGATCGTTTTAATCTGTTTAATAAACAAAATCGATGGAATTACTAAATTCTATGAATGTTTCGATTTTGACAAGACGCCATTTTGTGAAAAGATTTTAAACTGGTCCTTCGACTAATTTCCTTGTAATGCATTCAAAAAAAGTAAACCAGTAAACCGGAAGTAAACTTATTTTTCTTAGTATAAGCCTCCTTTAATTAGGAGCACCTCCATATGGAGTTTTACCTGAAAAAAATTTATCCAACATATGTACAGCACATATAAATAAACAATAAAAGTGTCATGCATGGCATATTTACAGGGACCTTTTTAATACTTTTTAATACAAATACAGGCGGGAAATTTAAAAACTTGAAATATTTTAAAACATTACACTTTTATTGATTGCTATCTTGAGCTCTGATTCCATCACATATTTTACCAATGCAATATAACCATTCAGTGCCCTTTCTTTAATTCTAAGCATAATCTATGTGTCCTTTTGTTAATCTTTTGCATTCTCTAGGTGCCCTTTTTCATTGAAGTTACCATGCCCTTTTTGAATGATAGGGGAAACACTAAGATGTATTCATTTTGGACTTGGTAAGATTTCATTATAGACTAAATTTCACTCCTCTATATTGTAAAACTAAATTCAATACAGTTATGAATTCTTCAACTGCTCACCATTTTTTTTCCTGAAGAAATAGATAAAAGTTTCAATATCTGGTCCAAATTTTTCTTTGAAACATTAACAGCCTGTTGGCTGACGATTTTTTAAAAGAATAGACTGTAGCATATTGAAGCTTATGGTATCACAACATTGTTTTGATTTGCTGTTGAAACATGGATTTATGAGCAATATAACTACTTACTTGCTTGCCTTGGTTCTGTTGTAATATATTTGGTTACATTATTATATGTTGCAACCATTGCTGATTGCAGATAGATTAAAATATATGTTTTATCCTTTGATTTATTTTGTTTCAGGTGAATTGAAGTTTAATCATTTAAAAAGACCTTATTTTGTGTCAATGGGGACATTTCACATGGCTATCTTACTGTTATTTAATTCATCAGACTCTTTAAAACTTAGTGATATAATGGAACACACCAAACTGTCAGAGGCTGAGCTCAAAAAACAATTACAAACCTTAACAGAAACCAAAATTGTAGTTTTAGAGGTAAGTCAAATTAAGAAAAAAATCTAAATACAAGAACTAAACCAGAATGAAAAGGACAGCATTAAAACACTAATAAATGAAAAATTAGGAGATGTGGTATGATTTTCAATGAGACAACTATCAACAAGATACCAAATGATATAGATATATATAGTAGATATAAGCAACTATATATCACTGGACAGCCTTTAACATTGAGCAAAACTCGTACTGTAAAGTCAGATAAAATGCCCCAAGATAACATGTAAAACATAAGACTGATTGATCTGTCCTTAATATATAATGCTTCATTAGAATTAAGTCCTACTCAGATTGTATTCATCCACATTTATTAATAGTTTCCTTTAGTGTTCCCTATCTAGGTTATGCAGTCAGGGATATGAATAAGTCTATCCTTTGATACAAATGGCATTTTTTGCCTGAATTACATGTATATGTAAAAGATCAAATTGACAGGAATGTAAGCAGATTGAAAATTTGCTTTAAGCCATTGTTTAAACAATTCTCTTTAGGTTGGTGTTCTTTTCTCTAATGTGTTGATTTTTGTCTTGCCTGCAATGAAAGTCGCGGAAAGCGATACATATGGATTGCTTTTCGGCGACGGCAATGACGGCGTCAACAATTGTTTAGTTTTCTACTCAAGTTAGTTTGATAGTAGCTACTTGTGATGTGATAGATCATTGATATTTTGTCTGAAGTCGCATTACTATCAGTTCATATTAGTGTGACAACTATTTTGAGGCCCTGCCTCCTAGGTCATGGTCCAGTGACTTTGCATTAATTAACAATTTTCAATGTTTAGTTTTCTGCTTAAGTTAGTTTAATAGGATCAACTTGTGATAGATCAATTATACTTTGTATGAAGTTGCATTACTATCAGTTCATATCAGGTTGACGACTATTTTGAGGCCCTGCCCCAGCCACTTTCAATTTATTAGCAATTTTCAAGTTTTCTGCATAAGTCAGTTTGATAAGAACTACTTGTGATAGATCAGTGATATTTTGTATAAAGTTGAATTACTATCAGTACATATCAGTTTGACAACTATTTTGAGGCCCTGTCCCCGAGGACATGGTCCAGTGACTTTGAATTAATTAGCAATTTTCAATGTTAAGTTTTCTGCTTAAGTTAGATTGGTAGGAACTACTTACAATAGACAACCATATTTTCTATAAAGTTACATTACTGTCTTTACATCTCAGTTTGTCGACCATTTTCAGGCCCTGCCCACTAGATCATGGTCCAGCAACTGAATTAATAAGCAATGTTGCTGTCAATCAGATTGTCTTTTTCTTAATTTTATGCTGACAGGTGAGACATATCACTGTGTCAACAGTTTATTTATGTTTAGATTTGGGGTTTATAGATTGAAATAAAATGGTGCATAGAATCGCATTAATGTATAATAATTATACAAAACTGTTAATAATTTAATATTTGCAAATATGACATTAATTGTACATGATTTTAATTTAAGCACAGTAAAATTTCACTGGTTACATATTACATAACCTATCTGCAAAATAAATTTAAAAGATTAAGATTTGTAAGATTTGTTAATTGCTTACCCATTAATATTTTATTTGATATTTTGACAGGATGATGCCTCTCTTGATAGTGCACTAACTTTGAATTTTAATTATAACAATAAACGTACGAAATTCAAGATTACATCTGCATCACAGAAAGAAACTCCACAGGAAATAGAACAGACACATAATGCAGTGGATGAAGACAGGAAAATGTACCTTCAGGCAGCCATTGTTAGAATCATGAAGGCAAGAAAAATATTAAAACACACCATGTTAATACAAGAGGTATATTACTGTTTAGTTTTTACTCTTTTTTTCTAATCCATAAAAAATTGGAACAACTTGCAGATTGTATCATTAATGCTTAAATGGTAATAACATTTTGCTTATTCTCTGGAAGATGTACAATCAATCACTGCAAATAGGGTAATGGACATTTAAAGCATATTTTGGGTTTAAAAATGCATTGTTTGAATGGTGATTGACTACTGAAGTGTCATATAAAAAAAAGCATAGCAATTTTAACATGAGTATAATGTTTTAAATTTTGAGCTTTAACAAAAAGTACAAGCTTGCTTTTGATTTTGAGAATAAATGGTAAAAATTTTAATGTACATATTACTTTAGATTTGACACATACCAATGCAGAAATGTGTTATGTACACCAAAGTTGATATTATTTCTCTGACCTAAAACTTGATGTGTTTATATTACCATGATATAACGAGACAAATACCTTAATTTGTAAATTATTGATGACCATTGACCTTTGACTTTGTGTATCTCACTCTAATCTTTGTGATAAATTATCAGATTTATAGTAATTATAATTCATTTATATTTCAGGTAATCAGTCAAGCCCGAGCCAGATTTTCTCCAAATATACCCATGATCAAAAAGTGTATAGAAGCATTAATTGACAAACAGTATTTAGAAAGGACTAGCAATTCTACAGATGAATATAGTTATGTAGCATAGTAAGTCTTGTGAAGACATCATTTGGTAGTCAGCTGATTCAAACTAGTGAAATTACTTGGTGGAAAAAAACTGGACAAAATGAAAGCTAGTGTTTCAATGCAGCCATAGGGGATCTAGTATCTATGGTTCCCTGTATTAAAGGAATTGTGTCAGCTGCATTTTATTTTAATATGATCTTTTGTTACAACATTTGATAATTATGAATATGACAGGAATATCTTTTAATTATTCATTTTTTATATACTTCAGATAATGGGGATCATAAAAACCTTGAAAATAGTATGATCTGAAAAATTTCTATTTAAAATAAACTTTCTTGTACCAGATTACCTAGGTCAAAAACTATTTTGTAATATGTTTTCCGAAACTCTTATAATTTGAACTTTTTTTGTTCAGAAATTCAGATTAAATTTAGATAAATATGATTTTCTGGACACGATTATAGTTTTAATAATCTGTAAATTTAAGAACTGACTATGCTGAGTCAATTGATTTGTTTTGATAACTATAATGTACATTGTAAGCAGCAATTACACAATGAAATCACAGTCATCACATATTTCAATACATGTACAAGCAAATGTGGGATATACATAAATTACTGTGGTTTACTTTTTAAACTTTTTTAAAACAAAAGTTTTTTTGTTTATTTGGTTATCAAAGATTTTGAACAATAAATCATAAACCTTTTCCAAAACTTGTATTAATAACGTGTGGGTTCAATTAATAGTTGGGTCACACCAAAGACTTCTGTATTAGCTGCTACTTCTTGAAGAACGTAGCTTTTAGAACTACAAGCAATGACTTATTGGCTCTGACAGTAAGATTTATGTTTTATATCAGGACTGTCACATTACTAGCATGTAAACTAGTTGACTCAATCTGGTACAAAGCAGGGTATGTTCTAACTCTGTATGTGATAATTGTATCTGGATGTCATCAGTAAATCAGTCGTGTAAATTTATCTTTCATTGACTGCTTACAAGGCATTATAACACTGATATTATAAATCAATATCAACTAAACCTGTTTAGATAATTACATTTTCTGTCAGGCATGTGTCTCTAATATAAAGAAAATACTAGTTCCTGTATTACAAATGTACAGCTGACAAATGGCTTAAAAGTTATAGTATAAACTTAAAGGTTGTCAGAGTAAATGATTTTGATATGTAGATAGTTTGCTCTATTTTTATGATTTGTACATTGTGATATACCTCATTTAGTTAATCCACTTCTAGTTGTTGGACTTTTTGAAATTGTGTATTTAAAAAAGTAGATAAAATGACACAGAAATTCATTAAAACATTAGACAAATCTTATTAGTACTTTCTGAGTATTTTCATTTCAATATAGAAATTCAAATGGGAACATGATATCAGTTAATTGCCACTTTGATGTTTTAGTAAAATAGAATTGAATATCCCCCTTTTTCAAAAACTATGTGACTGACCGGGAGGTCGGATTATTAAAATGACAAATTAAGGTAAATGAAATAACAAGTCGTGGGGTGGCATTTTGAAATAATTAAGTTGCAGGTCTGTTCATTTTTAAAGGGCAATTTTTCAACTTTTAGAAACCCCTATGTTTGAGGTCATTTAGGTTTAGTTATGAGTTAGCAATCTAGCTATAATGAAAATTGACTGTTAAGTGATTATGAACATTTAATAGAGTGTTATCCCCTATAATGAAAATTTTAATTGAATATCAAAGAATAAAAAGGCTCAGATGTATTTGGTTTCTTTTACCCTTTCAGTCTGAATAAGGACATATGCAACTAAATTGACACGAAAAAAATATACTAGACGATAAAACAAAATGACAACATAAGATGTACCAAGCCTAAAAAAAAACCAGCAGTTACAACAAATATTTGCCAACACCCATGGTTGAAAGATGGAAAAACAAAACCGAAGTAATCTGTATTGAATTGCTACATCTAAAATCTTTTCATTATATGCTGATGTAAACTGTGGCAGAATCTAGAGCTTTTTATTTTTCACTTCAGAGTATTCATATTGTATAGTAGAAATGTTTTTCATCAAAAGTGTACACAGCTATTACACAAATACACAATGTTTATATTTACTTTCATTATTAAAATTGTAAATCATGTGATAAGTGCTTGAAATTGTTCCTTTTTATTAAAAAAAATCTACAAATGATGTTGTTTTGTTGATACTTATAAATTAAGTAAAATTTCTTACACTTGACATTTGTATTTCACCTGATTTTAAAGGTATTTAAGAAGTTTAGGAAAATAATAATATCCCCAAATCATCAAGGTTCCATGTGTACAGCAAGTTCTCAACACAAATAAACATACAGCCATATAACTAGCTATGATGCTTCTTGCAACTTCTGAAATAGAAAATGCAGATTTTTAATATGCAGGTTAAAAACTGCATGGAGTTACATTTCGACTTCTGTTATTCATAACAGGAAATGTGAGCTTTTGCCATCACTTGGCGTGTAAACTATTTCAAAGATCTTCTCATCTGAAACTACTGAACCAATTCCAACCAAACTTAAGCTGAATGATCCTTAGGGTATCTTGAATAAAGTTTGTGTTTTATTTTCTGTTTCATCAAAAAACATGGCCGCCATAGCTAACAATAGAACATAGGGGTAAACTGCAGATTTTGGCTTATATCTCAAAAACTAGAGCATTTAGAGCAAATCTGACATGGGATAAAAATGTTCATTAGGTGAAGTTCTTTCAGCCCTGAAATTTTCAGATGAATCTAACAACCCATTGTTGGGTTGCTGCCACTAAATTGGTAATTTTAAGAAAATTTTGCAGTTTTTAGTTATTATTATTTAACCGTCATATATTGGTATGACGTTGGCGTCGTTCTCGGCGTGTCCGTTGTTCGAAGACATATTAGTTTTCGCACAATAGCTTTAGTTTAAGTGCGTGGATCTCTATGAAATTTGACCATAAGGTTCAATACCACAAAAGGAAGGTTGGGATTGATTTTGGGGGTTATGGTACCAACAGTTAAGGAATTAGGGGCCAAAAAGGGGCCAAAAATAAGCATTTTTGTAACTTCCAGACAATAACTTGTGTGTAAGTGTATGGATCTCTCTGACATTGTACCACAAGGTTCCATATCACAAAGGGAAGGCTGTAATTGATTTTGGGGGTAATTGCCTCAAAATTTTAGGAATAAGGGGCCAAAAAAGGGGCAAAAAACAAGCATTTTTCTAGTTTCATGACAATAACTTGTGTGTAAGTGTTTGGATATTTCTGAAATTGTACTACAAGGTTCCATATCACAAAGGGAAAGCTGGAATTGAGTTTGGGGGTAATTGCCCGAAACATTTAGGAATTGGGGGCCAAAAGGGGGCCAAAAATAAGCATTTTTCTAGTTTCCAGACAATAACTTGTGTTCAAGTGTATGGATCTCTCTGAAATTGTACTGCAAGGTACCATACCACAAAGGGAAGGCTGGGATTGAGTTTGGGGGTGATGAATCATAAGGGGGTTCAAAAAATTTGGGGGGGGGGGGATTTTTTTTCTTTTCTTTTTTTCCTTTTTTTTTTCTTTTAAAATTTTCCATTTTAAGTTGGTTATTTCTGATTTATATTTAAAAGCAAATAATAATGATATGGTAGGAGATACACACCAAACAGGATGTGTAAATTATTATATAATAAGTATTGTGCAATAGCAAGAAATTTTCAATTGCACAGTATTGCACATAGCAAGAAATCTTCAATTGCACAGTATTGCGCAATAGCAAGAAATCTTCAATTGCACAGTATTGCGCAATAGCAAGAAATATCCAATAGCACAATATTGCGCAATAGCAAGAAATTGTCAATTGTACAGTATTGCGCAATAGCAAGAAATATTCAATTGCACAGTATTGTGCAAAAGAAGATACTTCGTATAAATTGCTTATTTCTTGATCAATTTCAATGGGGTTTTATTCTTGAATTCTTGGGGTTCTTTAATATGCTGAATCTAACTGTGTATTAAGTTTTTGGATTTTGGGACCCGTTTTTTAATTGGTTCACATTGAGGTCCAAAGGGTCCAAAATTTAACTTTGTTTGATTTCATCAAAAATTGAATTATTGGGGTTCTTTGATATGCCGAATCTAACCGTGTATTTAGATTCTTAATTTTTGGTTCCGTTTTCAAATTGGTCTACATTAAGGTCCAAAGGGTCCAAAATTAAACTTAGTTTGATTTTAACAAAAATTGAATTTTTAGGGTTCTTTGATATGCTGAATCTAAACATGTATTTAGATTTTTGATTATGGTCCCAGTTTTCAAGTTGGTCCAAATCGGGGTCCAAAATTAAACTTTGTTTGATTTCAACAAAAATTGAATATATGGGGTTCTTTGATATGCTGAATCTAACCATGTATTTAGATTTTTGATTTTTGGGCCCCTTTATCAACTTTGTCCACATTGAGGTCAAAAGGGTCCAAAATTAAACTTTGTTTGATTTCATCAAAAATTGAATTCTTGGGGTTCTTTGATATGCTGAATCTAACCATGTATTTAGATTTTGGATATTGGACCATAATAGGTGAATGTCCAATTTAAAATTTTTAAGTTCTTAGACCACATTCATTCTGTGTCAGAAACCTATGCTGTGTCAAATATTTAATCACAATCCAAATTCAGAGCTGTATCAAGCTTGAATGTTGTGTCCATACTTGCCCCAACTGTTCAGGGTTCGACCTCTGCGGTCGTATCAAGCTGCGCCCTGCGGAGCATTTTATTGCTCAGTTATTATTATTATTATTATTCTTCTTCTTCCTCTTCCGCCGCTTTTAAATTTGAACTTGTCCGCACCCGTTCTCCAAAACCGCTTGTCAGATTAACTTAGGGTTTCACAATATGTTAGACTAACATGTCTAGTGGTGCAATCAGGGTTTTGTTTGTGCAATGGGGTTTATAAAGGGGTACTTTGGGGGGCAAAAAGAAAGGAGGGTTTTACTATAGAACCCTATGGGATTTTATTTTTTTAAATTTTCAAATGATTATAAATTGAAAACCGTTTGTGATAGACACAATCTTTTTAATTGAAAATGTTCTAAATGATAAAGCACATTAAATGAATTACAGGGTTAGTCCCAAGGGGTCACCCCCACCCCTAAACCATATATATTCTGGTTTGTCATGCTAAGATGGTTTGAATGATATACAGGGTTAGTCCCCAGGGGTCATGCCGACCCCCTGCCATTTGAGAAAGTTCTAATATCTTGTAAATGGTCGAGATCCCCACCCCTAAACCATATATATTCTGGTTTGTCATGATAAAGCACATCAAATGAAATAAAGGGTTGGTCCCCAGGGGTCACCCCCACCCCCTGCCATTTAAGAAAATTCTAATATCTTGTAAGTGGTCAAGATCCCCACCCCTAAACCATATATATTCTGGTTTGAAGATACGAAGATGGTTTGAATGATATACAGGGTTAGTCCCCAGGCATCACTGCATATAACTTTACTGGACCAAACTAATTTTGTCCAATGTCAGGCGACCCTGGGAGTTACGAATTATGGGAGCTTCGTTTGGGAGACTTCGTAACAGCATCCTGTTACAATCATTTCTTGTTATAGTTGCAAATTCCATTGGAAATTTGAATTGAGATTATGACAATATCTTGAGGGAAAGAATTTTTTTGTTGGAAAAGGAGGGGTGGGGGGTAAAAAAGAAATTGTGAGGGGGAGGGGGGATAAGCAACAGCATAGTGTATTTCACAAAGCAAAAAAAAGGAAGGGTCAATTTTTTGTTGTTGTTGTTGTTTTTGGGGGGGGGGGTCAATTCGCAACAGCATAGTGTATTGCACAAAAGCAAAAAATTGAATAAAAATTCAAATCATATAACCAATTCTAAGTTCTTTGACTACAGTTATTCGGTGTCAGAAACCTATTATGTGTAAAATATTTAATTACAATCCAAATTCAGACCTGTATCAAGCGCGAATATTGTGTCCATTTTCGCCCCAACTTTGCGGTCGTATCCAGCTGTGCTCAGCGAAGCATTTTATCTTGAATATTATTATAGATAAAGATAAACTGTAAACAGCAAAAATGTTCAGCAAAGTAAGATCTAAAAATAAGTTTCTATGACCAAAATTGTCAATTGACCCCTTAAGGAGTTATTGCCCTTTAAAGACAATTTTTCACAATTTGTTCATCTTGTTTGCTTACTTTAAAAAATCTTCTCCTTTGAAACTGCTGAATCAATTTCAGCCAAACTTGGGCTGAATGATTTTCAGAGTATCTAGTTATACGACCGCAAAAAAATTTTGTGGTCGTATATTGGTATGACGTTGGTGTCGTCGTCGTCGTCCGGCGTCGTCGTCCGAAGACACATTGGTTTTCGCACTCTAACTTTAGTTTAAGTGAATGGATCTTTTTGAAATTTGACCATAAGGTTCAATACCACAAAAGGAAGGTTGGGATTGATTTTGGGGGTTATGGTACCAACAGTTAAGGAATTAGGGGCCAAAAAGGGGCCAAAAATAAGCATTTTCTAGTTTCCAGACAATAACTGTGGAACGGTGTATGGATCTCTCTGAAATTATACTACAAGTTTCCATACCACAAAGGGATGGTTAGGATTTGCTTTGGGGGGTTATGGCTCAAACCGTTTAGGAATTAGGGGCAAAAAAGGGGGAAAAACAAGGTTGTCCTGGTTAATGGACAAATACTTTAGTACAAAACATAATTTAAAGCAGTGTAAGGGAGATAAATCAAATACATCATTGAAATTATCTCCCTTACACTGCTTTTAAATTATGTATAAAGTAATGGTTAATGAACAATAAAGATAATTTAAAACAGTGTACGGGAGGTAATCCAAATACAACGTTTTGGTTACTTCCCTTACACTGCTTTTAAATTATGTTTAAAGAAATGCATATTTATAAAGGAAGACCAGTAAAAATATCTGCAAATGTTGCATCTTTTTTTTTTACCAAAAAATCCATATGAAAGATTTGACACTATATTTTTAATTCTATTGTAAAATAGATTAAGTTAGCACTATGGTAAATTTAAATGGGTAATTATGGTTGCCAACTCCATTGGAAATTTGAATTGAGATTATGACCATATCTTGAGGGAAAGAATTTTTTGGGGAAAAAAGGGGGGGATAAAAAGAAATTGTGGGGGGTCAATTTTTTCTCATTTCAGAT